GCTTACGTTTTATATTTCAGATTGTGATCCACTTTGAGTTAATTTTTGTATAAGGTATGAAATAAGGATCCAAGTTCATTTTTTCTCACATATGGATATCCAATTGTTCCAGTACTATATGACAAGATTATCCTTTTTCCATTGAATTGCCTTGGCACTTTTGCAGAGAATCAACTGACCATAAATGTAAGAGCTTATTTTTGGACTCTTCGTTCTGTTTCATTATGCCAGTACTACATCTTTTTGATTATTGCATATTTACAGCAAGTATTAAAATTAAATAGTATTAATCCTCCAACTTCTAACTTTACTCAAAATATCTGAACTATTCTTGGTCTTTTCTATTCCTCTATAACTTTAAGGGTAAGCTTGTGAATTCCAGCAAAAAGCCTACCAGAATTTTGATACGGATGTCCCAGAACTTATAGCTCAATTTGGGAAGAATTGCTCTCCCAACAATATTGAGTCTTCCAATCCATTAACATAGTTATCTCTCAGTTTGTTCAGATATTCCTTAATACATCTTAGCAGTGTTTTGTAGCTGTCATCTTCCTTTGGTTAACTCCAAGACTTCGAAATGGTTGTTTTTGACAATTGCATTTGCTTTTTAGCATTTTTTTAGAAGATCAATCAATCTCTTCATATTAGCATAGCCAGAAGTCCACCAGCTGTTTTTGAGGGTTGTATATGCAGCATCTTCTCTTCATTAATTCCTGCACTAATATCCATTTTGGATTACCATTATTTCTGATAGCCCTTCCACATTTGTGGTTGGGGTTTCAATTGGATATTTGCAAGAGGAGCAAAATGAAAACTCTGCACTGTCATATTGCAACAGTGATAAATAGTTTTCAACAGATTGCTTAATTTATGTGCAATTGGTCAGAAAAAAGTTAATCTCTGCATAATTACCAAATAAAGGCATGGACTCTGGAGCCCGACTACCTGTACTCAAATCCTACCTCTTATTCTTGAGATTGGGAAAGTAGTTTAACCCTTCTTTGACTTAGTTTCTTGATCTATAAAATGGCAAGAACAAAAGGGTACACCGTAGAGAGTTATTGTGAAAATTAAATGAGTTATATGAAGTAATTCAGAAGATGACCTGCACATAGTAAATTTTAAGTATTAGTTCATTTTTCATGTTTGAAAATGAGGTTTTACTATTCGTACACTGACACATTTGAGTTATAAGAAGACTACATAGGAATATGAAAAAATGCTCTTAACATTTTAAGTGAAAAGGCAGATTAGTAAGTGGACTCTATACATGATTGCAATTATGTAATAATAAGGATACAGGCAAAACCTGGAAAGAAACATACAAAATTAAAATACCTATTTTGTCGTGATCACATTATAGGTAACTTTCATGTTAAATATTTTCCACATTTTTTGAAAATATTTGAAAAACAAATTTTAAAAACAAATTACAACTTTTCTTACTGTAAACAATTTTACTCACTGGCATAAATTGCTAATTTTTAAAAATTTGTTATGAGATTGAAGGAAACCAGATGGCTAATTATATTTGCAATGCTATATATATATACATTTTTTGAGACAGACTGCCGCTCAGTCTGGAGTGCAGTGGTGCGATCTCGGCTCACTGCTACCTCCACCTCCTGGGTTCAAATGATTCTCCCTCTTCAGCCTCCTGAGTAGATGGGACAGGCACGTGTCATCACACCCGGTTAATTTTTGTATTTTTAGTAGAGATGGGGTTTCTTCATGTTGGCCAGGCTGGTCTCAAACTCCTGACTACAAGCGATCTGCCTGCCTCGGCCTCCCAAAGTGCTGGGATTACAGGCATGAGCCGCTGCGCCCAGCCTGCAATGAATTATCTTTTAATAAAAAGTGGGGCTTATAAGATTTACAAAAATGGCCGGGCGCGGTGGCTCAAGCCTGTAATCCCAGCACTTTGGGAGGCCGAGACGGGCGGATCACGAGGTCAGGAGATCGAGACCATCCTGGCTAACACAATGAAACCCCGTCTCTACTAAAAATACAAAAAAATTAGCCAGGCGAGGTGGCGGGCGCCTGTAGTCCCAGCTACTCGGGAGGCTGAGGCAGGAGAATGGCGTAAACCCGGGAGGCGGAGCTTGCAGTGAGCCGAGATAGCGCCACTGCACTCCAGCCTGGGCGACAGAGCGAGACTCCCTCTCAAAAAAAAAAAAAAAAAAAAAAAGATTTACAAAAATGTCATCTAATTTTTAAAAATGTATTTAAATGTTTTTATTTTTGGAGTTTAAAAATGTGAAAATCTATAATATATACCTTTCAAAATTAACCTAATAATTGCTTTCTGACTTTTGTATCTGTAATTCTGTCAAGAAGAGATCTAGTTCTCTTCAAGCTGGTTCCCAATGGAATAGTTGGTGTAGCAATGGCAAATGCTTCTGTTGTCATCCTTGGGGAAAATACCCACTTCAAACCAAATTGGAAAATGAATAAATGGAAAGTGAAGATGTGAGGTGAAGTTCAGTTGATCATCACTGAGACAGACAGAATTAAAAAGGGAAAGGGAGACTGAGAATTAAGAAGAGAGAGATGCAAAAATTGAAAAAAAGTTTGAGAAACAGAGCAGAGGTTCAAATGGAAATAGAGATTCCAGATCTCCCCCATTTCTTCAGGAATAAATATTGTCCTGTAACCACTGGACATTAAATATTTACTTACCATATGAATTTGCTCTTAAAGTGCTATTCATATCCTACCTACCTTTCAATTTAGGAAGAATGGGTAATTTTTTTTTTTTTTTTTTTAAAAACAAACTATCCATCAGGCCTCATCAAGGAGGCTTCACTACATATACTAGGCCTAAGTATGTCCCTTTCTCATGGATGTATTAGACTGCAACACAATTTTAATCAAATAAGAAGTTTTGAAAAATTCTCTCTAAATATATATTTCAGAGAAACTCAGCAGAAATGTATGGCTAGCAATGAAATTAAACCAATAATTGAATGTAAAAATTTGATCTACATTCAACTTATTTTCCAATATAATTTTTCTTAAAATGTAACATCTTTTAGTAGTTAACTCAACAGAATCTTAAAATTCTGTCTTATAGGACAAAATGACATTAAATTTTGTAATCAAATTAGGCAACACATGAAGTAACAATTATGTGACCTGTCTGGATAAAGTTCAAATATTGTTACTCTTATTTCAATGGAAATAACTGTTATACAATAAAGTTCATGCACTGTTCATGGCTTAAAAAATCAATTTATATTACTGTTTAGCCACTTTCTACAATGTTTGTATATGTTAGCTTTATAAGACTTTACAATATGAACAGTATTCTTTCTCAAGTAGTTTTCAACTAGTCATTTTTTAAAGGCTTAGAAAACAAGCATTCATTTTTTAAATGTTTTAAATACTTATTTAGCATTTTAAATGCTAAATAATCATGGGGAAAATAGTGAAAATACAGAGCTATATATAAAACAAAAAGAAAGAAGAGTCTCTATTTTACAAGTAATGGTCTTTCAGTTTGTTATTGGAATAACTAATAATTGAACATAATATTTTTATAGGAAGAAAATACTAGATATCATTATAAAATGCAATTATCCAGCCCTTCTTATGTAAATGTAAGTAGAATTATTAAAACTTCTGGGCTGGGCGCAGTGGCTCATGCAACCAGGCATGGTGGCTCACGCCTATAATTCCAGCACTTTGGGAGGCCAAGGTAGGCGGATTGCCTGAGGTCAGGAGTTCAAGACCAGCCTGGCCAACACAGCGAAATTCCATCTCTACTAAAAACACAAACATTAGCTGGGTGTGGTGGTGTGCGCCTGTAGTCCCAGCTACTCAGAAGGCTGAGGCAGGAGAATTGTTTGAACCCAGGAGGCTGAGGTTGCAGTGAGCTATTACGCCACTGCACTCCAGCTTGGGCGACCGAGTGAGACTGTATCAAAACAAACAAACAAACAAACAATAAACTTCTAGTTAATATTAGGATTTTTACAACTGCTTGTTAGGAATTAGCACAAGAAATGCAGAATGGTGGGAAGTTGAGAAATTTGAGATGCTAAGTGGAAAAAAATTCCTTTAAGTATTTGAAATTTTGTTCATGAATATGGCTACTTCTCAGTTCAATACATGATTCTGTATTCAAGCTAGAAATTAGGTTGAGATGGTTTCCTTAGATTATCACCTACTCCGGTATCATTTCTAGCTTTACCAGTTCTCCTCTGTGAATATGAATCAGCTGTTACAATTTCTCCAGGTTTGGCCTAATTGTCCCTGTTCTTGCCAAGGGCCAGACTTAAGTTGGCCTGAACTTAGCCATCCATGACAGGGCAAATGATGAATATATGAAAGAAAAGAGTAAGAAAGAGAACAGATAGTGATATGACTTCAATGTTTGTCTCCTCCAAATCTCAGGCTGAAATGTGATTCCCAGTGTTGTAGGTGGGGCCTGGTGGGAGGTGACTGGACCATGGGGGCAGGCCCCTCATGAATGGTTTAGCACCATCCCCTTGGTGATAAGTGAGTTCTCACTCAGTGAGATCCAGTTGTTCAAAGGTGTGTGCACCTCCCCAGTCTCTCTCTTGCTCCCTCCCTCGCCCTTGCACCTTCTGTGATTGAAAGCTTCCTGAGACTCTCACCAGAAGCAGATGCTGGCACCACACTTCCTGTACAGCCTGCAGAACCATAAGCCAAAATAAACCTATTTTCTTTGTAAATTACCCAGTCTCAGGTATTCCTTTATAGTAACCCCAAAAAGGACTAATACGGATGGAAAGTGAAATAAATAAGAAGCTCAAAAAAAAAAAAAAAACAAAAATGGGACAAAGAATAAAAGGAGATAAGCAAAACTGTCTCTTTAGAATACGACAAAGAATTGTATATATCATAGAAGCAATATAACTCAGGAGAAAGACTATTAAACAAAAATGTATGCCAAATACACAGTTACATCCACAATTCCCATCAGTGTTGAACATCTAGCATGTACTACTCAATTAATATGAGACTAAATCACTCACCTTATCAAGTTCACTTGTCAGCTTTTTATTTTCTTCAGTTAACAACACTTTTTCTCGTTCATACTGTTGTTTGAACTCACTTTCAAATTCTTCCCTTTCACTTTGACTAACATAATTCAAAACACAAAAGGAAAAAAGGGAATTAAAGGTCAACTGAAAACTTGAAATTATTTTTCCAATAGTTACATAAAACATAAAATATCAGATTGAACTGCAGAAATATTGTCCCCAGAGAACACAGCTTGTTTATAAGTAGTGACAGGCCTGGTGAAAGCATGTTCCAGGAATTTATATTACAATAATACTGATTTGTTCATTCATTTACCAAATATTTATGGAGCACTTACTAGGTGCCAAGAAATTGTTTTAAGTCTTCACAGCTACTGCTGTCACGGAGCTTATATTCTGGTAGAGGCGGATTGCCAGTGAAAAGTGAGTAAAATGAACTAATTTCAGATAGTAAGTTCTAAATTATATATATATATATATATACAGTAATGCAATAAATAGTATTTGGGAGAGGGTGGCCACTTTATATAGTCAGAGAAGGTCTCATCAAGGTTGATAATGGACCAAAATGAAAATAATAGTTGCCATCTGCTTCACATTCATTATGTTCTATCCAAAGGCAAATTAGTTTGAGATCAATATTCTTACAAAATACAAAGTTGCTGGGCCCTTATTTAATATTAGGCCAGAGTCACTTCCTAGTGTTATCAATTTGATTAACGATAGTATTCCAAACATTTTGTTCATAATTAGAATTTATATGAGTTCAGAAATTTTAAAAAATTTACTGTGAAATACTTTCAGTTTTATAGAAAAGTTAAATAGTACAAAGAATTGCTGTATCGTCTTAACCCAGATTCCCCAATTGTTAATATTTTACTGTATTTTCTCCATTACTTTCTTCTCAATTTAAAAAATCAACATTACTAGAACACTTACCATTTGAATTCACAGACCCAATTCATGTTATCCCAACAATGTCTCCTTTTCTTATCAAGGCCAGGATCCAACTGAGAAATATGTGTTGCATTTAATAGTCATATCTCTTCAATCTCCCTTGGTCTAGAACAGTTCCTCAGTCTTCCCTATCACTCACAACAGTTTTATAATGTACAGGTCTCTAACTGAGTACGGTGACACTCATCCTGGGGTCATCTGATGTTTATGACTAGTCCCAAAGAATTCATTTTTGGCTGGAATACCACAAGGACGATGTCTCTCAGTGCATCCCACCAGCAGGTGCAAAATATTGATCTGCACAACGCTGACCAAACCTCTTAGGCTAAGGGTGTGGATTCAGAATGAGTGGAGTTCCCAAGATATGAGATGTGAGAAAGAAAATAAATTTTTTACGAGAAATGTGAGCCCCTTTAAATTAGCACGGCCAGAGAGGCACTGAAATGTGACTGCAGTGACATCTCATTCTCCCAGTTCAGCTAAGTAATCTACCGGCTATGTGGACTCCAGACTGAGCGTCACCAATAGCTATAAATTAACCCAACAATGCCATATTCTGGACACCATTACTCACACCCTATATAGGTCAACAATATACATCCAATCATTAATCAATGTTATTTCTGCAAACCAATGAGAATTCCTGACAAAAGACTTTTGTATGTTCCCTCTCCTGATTTGTCTTTCTTTAAAAACCTGAGCCTCTTTTTTGTTCTCTGGAGCACTTCTCTGTGTTTCCTGGGCTGCAGTCCTCAACCTTGGCCCAAATAAACTCTATATTAATTTTGCCTCAGTTTCTGTCTTTTGGACAACATTTTGGAACCTTTGGGCAGCAAAAGACAGTGCTGAGAACTCTGAACCCTCATATCCCTTCAAACCTCTGCAGGTAGAAGCAATCTCATCGCTTTCCCCACAGCAGCTATAACCTGAGGCAACCAGCCTGTTTTTGCATAAAGCATTTATTAACTTCACCTGAAATAGTTACCCCGAAAGGGGAGGCCAAGTATCTTTAACACCTACCCAATCACTTGTCATTGTCTTCAGGCCTATAATGACAGTTAAGATCACAGCAGAGACTAGATATAAAAGCAATGAAGGTGTTAAAGGATTTTGCCAATTTATATTGGAAGGAGTATGGGCAGCATATAGAAATGAATTCTAAGAACTGAGAAAGAAAACTTTTTTTTATCTGAGGAATGTGAGACCATTTACATTATCAGGCCCAGAGAGGTATTTAAAATGTGAGAGCAGTCACATCTCCCACCTTGAGCTCAATAATCACCTCTTGAGGCCACTTGCTATGTGGGCTCTAAACTGATACCAAGTAGCCATAAAATGTCATACACTGGACACCATGACTCACACCCTATCAATGTTATTTTGTAAACCAATGAAAATCCCTGTCAAACAACTTTGTATCAGCCCAGCCCTGGTCTCCTTTTGCCTTTAAAAACCTACTAGTAACAAAGATCTAATGGAGCACTCCTCAAGGTAACCTGGAAGTGTGTTCCTGGCAGCTGTCTTCACTTTGGTTCAAGCAAACTCTTTAAATATATCCTGTGCCTCAGCTTCTTCCTTCAGGTCAGAAGGGTGTTACCCCAAGGTGGGTAAATAAAAAATTAAATACAGCCAAATTTATCAAATGCACATACTCATCTAGGATTTGTGGTTTAATGTGTTGACTCAACATTCAGGTGTAGTTTTTCACTGCTAGGCTGAGTAATTGAAGCTTGGACTTCGGACCCAATAGTGGCCTACAGTCAATTAGCTGGAGCATTACTGGCTCAAGGAGATGAGAATGTCAGAGTGGACCTATTATGTGCAACCTGGTCAGCCACCCACGAAGAACCCACTTCAGAACACCTAGAAAGCAGTCCTTTCACCAAGGCATTAATAAATACACCAGTGAGAGGGCGCTAGCATCCTGGAGAAACACTATGGTAGGTGTCCCAGATGACAGTCTACAATGACAGTGGAAAATGCCAGAATGGAATTGCATTGCCTGATTTTATTAAAAATAACAGTATTCCAGATTGGCTATTGTACCACCTGCTTTATTATAGCCTGATGCTTCCAAATCCTCATCCTTTCCCTTAACATTAAAAATCACACTCATTTACTTTTAATGAATTCGATGAACATATGCTTAATAACATCTATTTGTGTTTCATTTAGAAATCTGAGGAAAACATCTGTGATTTGTAGACTTCCTATGCTCACCTTATTTGATTATGTATATACTAGAAAGTGTGGTGAAAGGAGAGGTTAGGGGAAAGAGGAGGATATATGAACCACAAAATGATTCCTTGTTCTCAACTCTAGATAGTATTAAAAGTTCAATTAAATTTCCAACAGTTCTATCAATACTTTCAGTCCTTCCTTCCTTCCTACATCTACATACATACACATTTATTATTATTTTAATATTACAAAGCTTATTTAAAATGATAGTTCTGTGGAGCATGATAACTTATTTACCCTTAGAAGTAAACACAGTTTTAATAAGACATAAAAAGTCTTCTAAGGAAAAAAGGAGAATAAACTTTTTTTTTTTTTTTTTTTTTTTTGAGACAAGAGTCTCACTCTGTAGCCCAGGCTGGAGTGCAGTGGCGTGATCTCAGCTCACTGCAACCTCCGCCTCTCAGGTTCCAGCGATTCTCTAGCCTCAGCCTCCCGAGTAGCTGGGATTACAGGCACGTGCCACTGTGCCTGGCTAATTTTTGTATTTTTAGTAGAGATGGGGTTTTACGATATTGGCCAGGCTGGTCTCGAACTCCTGACCTCAGGTGATCCGCCTGCCTTGGCCTCCCAAAGTGCTGGGATTACAGGCGTGGGCCACTGTGCCCAGGAAGGAATAAGTTTTTTGAAGACTGTATTGTTATATGACAAACAGGCTTATATCTACAGCAATTTGATGGATGCTACAGGATGTTAGCAATGAATGAAATTCCATGTGGATCAGGCTGGGTAATTATATATGATTGCTTTAAGGTGAACAAAGAATATAAGAAATGGTTGATCTTAAAAGTGTAATCTTAAAAATCTCCTACATAACATTATTGAAGATAAATTATAATTTAAATGACAAATTCAAGGAAAATAAACTAACCTCCATCTCCAAGCAAATGTGTCACTTCACTATTATCTATAGACAGATGTTAAATTTAGTTATGTTTAGGAAGCTTCCCTAACACAGAAGCTCTTTTTCCTGTTTCCTGTTAGCATTAAACAAGCTTAAGTCTCTTCCATATTAAAAATAAACAAATTCTCCCCATAGCCTGTGTTACAATTCATTTCCCAAATCCTTGTCTTCCCACTCACTGGTAAGCATCCTGAAACAGTTTCTGTAACCACTTTTTCATGGTTTAGTTGCTCTCCACCACACCAAAATCTGGCTTCTGCCTCCACCATCTCAAGAAAACAGCTCTCTCAAAACTCAACACTGGCCTGACTGTGATTACATCCAACCTGCTGGCCACTTTTGACAGTGTTGTCCACTCTTGCCCTCTTGACATGCTGTCTGGCTTTGACTTCAGGGATCCCATGCTCTACTAGTTTTTAGTCTACATTCCTGGCTTCTTTTCGGCTGCCTTTGTGACTCTTCTATCCTTCCTGTAAATACCAATGCTCCTCAGCATTCTGTCTTAGAGGTGCTGTCTCTTCCTCTCTACACATGCTGCCTGAGGTATCTCATCAATGACACTAGTTGGTTTTATTTATGTATTCAGCTGATGATCTCTGAATCTACATTTGAAGCTTTTGTGGCCTTCAAACTGCTGACTTGACATCTCCACAAAGACATCTTCCAAGCACTGCAAGTTCAATATGCCCAACTCAACAAGAGAGCTCAACACAAATTCCCACCACCCCATCTACATCAATATACTCTACTTTCTCTTCTGATAGGTAAAACAAAACAAAACAAAACAAAACAGATTGAGTAAGGCCAATCCCTTCATTATGAACATCCTGAAGTACTCAAGTACTTTTCTCTAGTACTTTCCTCTTCTCCTCTCTCTTCCAATCATCTATGAGACAATTTCTATCAGATTACAATCATGCTGTTATTTCTTCCATCTTAAAAAGAAAACCACATACACAAAAACAAAGAGCAAAATATCTTCTCTGAGATAATTTCTCCTCTAGCTATTACCTGATTTCACTGCTTGTTTGTGTGATAACTCCAAGTAACAATAGTTTTACTTCTATGTTCTGTCTCCAAGTGCTCTCCTTCCAGTCTCTTTTAATCCTACTGTGGGGTCTTTGCCTCTGCTTTTCCACTAAAATTGTTCTTATCAAAGTCACCAATGACCTTCATATTGCTAAACTCAAATGTCATTATTTAGTCCTTATCTCACTTGATTCAGAACTCATTTTATTTGACATGCTGACAGACTTTATGTGCTTTCTTCACTTGGTTTCCGCTGTTACAGTAGGCAGTCAGGCAGACATAAGCAGGACAGGAGGGACCCCCTGCCCCTACACCCCCAACCAGGAATGGCCACATCAGGTGATGGCCAGGTGATTGTTAAACTGTCTCTAAAATAATAATTGATCACACCTGGTGACAGGAAAAGACAGTCTCCCACTAGATAGAAACACCTGAAACGTGATCAGCAGCTTCCCAATAAGATTCAGGAGTTAGGCAAGTGGGCTCAAGCATATACACTAAGAGAAAAAATGGTGGAGTTTAAATGGTGGCATATGACCTTCTTCTAGGAGCACTAGACTGGCAAGGGAAGAATGCCTCAAGTGAGCACGTGTACAACTTCAGTAAACACACTGTGCATGTAGCCCCTCCCAAGTGCTGGCAGGTCACTGTGCATGCGGACAGCCCACCCCAAGGGAAGAATCAGAGAAGGGATGCAACTCCACAGAAGCATGCCAAGTCAAAGGTTAAACACCAAGTCAAAGGTGAAACCATGCACTTGAATCTCTCAAGTCACCCACTTGGCACAATTCCAAATGTACTTTGCTTCCTTTTATTCCTGTTCTAAAGCTTTTTAACAAACTTTCACTCCTACTCTAAAACTTGCCTCGGTCTCTCCCTCTGTCTTATGCCCCTTGGTCTAATTCTTTATTCTGAGGAGGCAAGAACTGAGGTTGCTGCAAATGCATATGGATTTGCTGCTGCCAACATGAGGACACTAAATTTGCCTGTTATTCTCCTGTCATTCTCACTGCCCTTTCTCTATCCACTTTGCTGGTTCCTCCTCGTCTCTCAACTTCTAAAAATTGGAGTACCCCAAGGCTCAGTGCTAGGAAATTTTTTTCTATCTATACCCATTCACTAAGTGTTTTCATACGGTCTTAGAGCTTTAAATGCCATGGAAGTGATAATATTCTCAGGATTTTACCTCCCTCCCCCAAATCCAGGCTGGTCTATACATCAGCCTATTTGACATCTCCAACTGAATGTCTAATAAGCATCTCAACTGTAACTGCTTAAAATGAGCTCTTTCTGTTTATGAAAGAGTCTTGTTGGGGGAAAAATGTGCCCTTGATAATACTCCCAATCCCAAACTTGCCTCTCCTGTAGTCGTCCTTTCTAGTAATATATTCTTCCAACCACTTGGACCAAAAACCTTAGTATCATTCTTGAGTCTTCCTTTTTCTCCCTCATATCATATCTAGTCCACCAATACATTGCTATCTTTACCTTTAAAGATCATTAAAATTCAAACCCTTCTTATCCCTTTTGCCACTACCCTAGGCCAAAGCCACTGTCATCTGCTTGGATTACTTCAGTCGTCTTCTAAGTGGTCTCATTGCTTTTGCTCTTACCTAATTCAGACTACTCTTAACCTATTATTCAGAGTGATCCTGTTAAAACACAAATCAGTCGTCGCTTTTCTGCTCAGAATTCTACAATATAGTCATGTAATGCATAATGACATTTTGATCAACTATGGACTGCCATTAGTCCATAATGTATTAGTCCATAACTGTGTAAATTTTTCAACTTTATTATAATCTTATGGGAACACTATGTGGTATTGAAAAATTCCTATTACTTAGTGATACTGTAACTGTCTTAAAGTACTAACGTAAAGCATTACTCACGTGTATGTGGTGATGTCGGTGTAAACAAACCTGCGCTGCTGGCAGTATAAAAGTATAGCACATACAATTATGTATAGTACATAATACTTAATAATAAATGACTATGTTACTGGTTTATATATTTACTATATTATACTTCTTATCATTATACAGCTTCTACTTCATATATATTTTTTAAAGTTAACTGCAAAACAGCCTCAGGCAGGTCCTTCAGGAAGTATTCCCGAAGAAGGCATTGTTGTTATAGGAAATGACAATTCCATGTGTGTAACTGTCCCTGAAGACCTTCTAGTTGTGACTGACCCAGAGCAACTTCCAGTCCCGTAAGCTTCATTTATGGTAAGTGCCTTATATAGGTGTACCCTTTTTAAAAAAAAAATCTTATATATAATCACATCACAATACCTTTCCCAGAAAATATCCCTGGTGTTAAGCGATGCATGACTGTAATTCCCTGCAATAGTTTTACTCAGAATAAGAAACTATGCATCCACTAAACATGACTTTCAAGGCTTTACATGATGTGGCCCCTGTTGCCTCTCTCACTTGTCTCTACTATTCTTCTCCCTTTATTCTACTTGAGGCACACTGGCCTCCTCACTATTTTGTAAAAAAACTTACTCTTCTCCATGTAGAATGCTCTTCTCATACATCTGTATAAATACCTTTTTTTAGTCTTTAACTGAGAAATCAATCACCTTCTCAGTATCGTTTTTCCTGGCCATCCTGTATTTATATAATTTAATCCTCCCCCGAATGCTTCATAGACCCTATTCCCTGTTAATTTTTTGTTCTTAGCATTTATCATTATCTGATACATTCTATGTTTTACTTATAGAAAGTTCTATGGGACAGGAATTTCTTTTCATTGTCATTGTCTTTTTGTACCAGTCCCTACAACAGCGTGTCACACATGGTAGATTAAAAAATATTACTGAATGAATAAATGCAACAAACTGAATCATCTCGGGCTTCCAATATAAGCTGAGAATGACAGCAACATATATTCAGTTTCCTGAAATCCAGAAAGCTGAGTATAACTGACAATTTCTTCTGCTCCCTCATTTCTCACAGCTGCTTATTATGTTCTCCAGGTTCTATCTTCTCAGTAGATGGAATCCATCCACTTCTATCTTCACTATCACCACCTGAGGCCCACACCTCATCTCTCCAACCTGGATTCGTACCTTCAGACTGTTCCTCCCACTTCACTCTCCACACAGTAGCAAGAGTGGTCATTCAAAAATGTAAATATAATCATGTCACCTTCCTTCAATGGCCTGAGGATAATGTGCAAATGCCTTGTACTCTGTTATGACTTTGCGTCTATTTTACTTTCCAGCTTTATTTCTCACCACTCCCATCTATTTATGTTTCAGTCATAGTAAACATCTTTCATTTTCTGAATGTGGCAAGTCCTCCTTTTCCTTTAGATCTTAGCACATCCTCCCTGGACACTCCTCCCTAGCTACTTCTTTCTCACTAATTATATCTCAGCTTCAAAGTTTATCATTTTTTTTTTTTCTTTTTCTTTCCTGGTAGAGATACGGTATTACTACGTTGCCTAGGCTGGGCTTGAACTTCTGGGCTCAAGTAAGCCTCCTGCCTCAGCCTCTTAAGTAACTCAGATTACAGGTATGTGTGTGTGTGCCATCATGCCAACCTAGAAGTAATTTTGTTCAGAAAGCCTAGATGTACCAAAGTTATCTTTTGTGCCTTCCCTATATGTGCTCCTATAGTTATCATCCCATTCGCTTTTCTATCATGCTATATTATAATTTACTATTTGCCAATCCTGATTTTGGTCTCCTTTAGGTCTAAGATATGTTTATTGTCTATGTATCTCCAATACTTGACACAAAACAGGTACTCAATAAGTATTTACTGTATAGTAAATAATGTGATTCTTACCTTTCTCTCCTGGTTTTTTCCAATTTGTCTTTTAAAATCATAATTTCTTTGTTGAGAGCAAGTTGCTGACCTTCTGAATCATGCAGTTCTTTCTTAAGATTTTTTATTTCATTTGCATGTATTCCTTCTCTTTTAGATAATTCTTCTTCATAAAAGACACTTTTCTTTTCCAAATCAGTCTTTAGTTTGGTTATCTCTTGCTGATGTTCTATGCTGCATATTCCTGGTGAGTAACTAATTTGTTTTTGCTATAGAAGTAATAACTAAAGATTAGTGCATCTACAAGAATAATAAAATATTAAATAACTTCTTTCTGTAATATAAATGAGTATTCATGTAACTGCATTTTTGTACATCTTAACAAAAATAAAATTCTATATAAAGTCTACTACCTTTTTGTCTGCCATATATTGCAAATATTTTCCTCAGTTTACATTCCTTAATAGTCTGTCTTTGCTGCTACTTTTAAGTTTTCTTCACACACAGATTACATATTTAGTCAAATTTTTAGCCGGGACTTACATGATTTCTTGCTTTACATTTAAATTTCTAATTTATTTAGAATTATTGTTGGTATATAGAGTGAGAGAAAAATCTAACTGCATCCTAAATCTGATGAGGAACTGATAAAAAGTTTTAAGGACATCTGCGTCTTAAAAAAATTAAAATGGGCAAAGGAATGGTAGAGTAGAATGTACAAAAATAAAGACAGAAACCTTTTGCAACAGTCCTGTGAGAAATGGCAAAGGTCTAAACTAACATCTCCTTCATATCTACACTAGAAAAAAAAAAAAAGGTAGGTCTCTTCACTTTCAGATATGATTAAGAAGGAGAAGAAATTGGGTTGAAGTCTACCTTTTTAGAAATAAGGCTGAAATATCCTCTCAGTAATAAGAAAGAAAAGAAAATGTAAAGTCCAAAGATTCTTCCAGGTACTGCCTAAAGGGTAAACAGAAACATACAGACTACAGATTATGACTGTAAGATTTCCTAAGCTTTGTAATTTTCCAAAGGTCATTAATTTGTTATATCTTATCTGTCTCCCCAGTTGCAATAAAACTTTTAAAACTAAAAGAACCTATGCACTTAAGTTTAGGGACAACAAAGAATCAAGATCTAGAGGTCAGTGTATTCTTTTTTGAAGTCAGTCATAAGGGCAATAAAACTGGTAAGCGTAGTTGACTTAAAGTAGAAGGAAAAATACCCTGACCCCTTCATATTTGAAGTATATAATTTAAAAAGAGCAAAGGAAGTGATGTGGGCCAGAGAAATAGCCCTGGTGTGTCCAGTGCAATATTAACCTTTCATCGAAAAAATATTTTTCATGTGCCAGATCCAGATTGTCCAATGGTTTATTAGGCAGCCTAACATACAAAAGTCTGCTTAACTTGAGAAGAACCAGAGCAAGGCAGATTCTTGCTCTTAAGCATCGCTATGAAAATGATATTAACCCATCTGTAAAAAAGAAAAACCTACCAAGAAATAATAGGTTTTACTGCAGGCACTGAAGATAATTTAATGTCAGCCAACTTATTAATAACTGTGTCATAAAATGAATTATTTTAATAGACTAAATTTTAAAATCCAAATGATAATCTCAGAATGTACCCCTACTAGCATTTTATAAAATCCAGTAATAATTCCAAATACTACCCTAAGTCCCACAATAAAACTATCACATAAAAAGTAATACAGTAATTATTTTAATTTAAAAGTATCCATTTTGAGCTATCGAAATACTATTTATGGTGAGCCATTAGAGATACACTGAGTAAATTCAGAAACATCAACAAAAAGGATGTCTTCCATTATCACTCTTATGCAACATTCATTTCAGACCAACATGTAAAACAGTCTCTCTCACCAACATGTAAAATAGTTAAAAATATGAATATTGTAAAGAAAAATAACATCTTTATCATTTCTATTTAATTGTTCACCTAGAAAACACAAATAAATCTAGTGAAATGTGTTAGAATTGACAGAGTAAAGCAATAGCATATAAGATAAACACAAATCAATACTTCCAGATATTAAAATAAGCAATAAACAACAAAAATTTCATTGTTAACTGAAGAATAACAGTGAGAAATTTCTGATTTATATGAAAAAAACCTAAAAGTATTGAAACCAACTATTTAAAAGGGAAGATTAAATGGACATGTATTCAATATTTTTCATGTTATCTTCCACATAATTCTAATTAAAAGTTCTTTATAAATGTGGGGATAGAAGGGCACGGAGACATGTTTCTACTCCGTGGATAAGAATAAACTGGTAAAAATAAAAATGTCAAAGAAAATACCAAGGGGTGAGTGGGAAAATACACTTTTAAAATATTAAAACATACTATAACTCTTTACTAAAGTATCACTGTGACAGATTTGCTTCCCAAAATAATTTAATTCAATATATGAGACATCTTCAGTCACTAGGTAAGGTAATGATTAATAAATGACATTGGAATCACCAGCTAGCAATAAAATAACAAAAATGAATTTCATGTCATACCATTTAGCAAAACAAACTCCAAACAGATTAAACAGTTAATTATTTTTAGACCCAACAAACATCCAAAAGAAAGCAGAATTAAATACTTATCAAAACTCTGAGAGGAGGACAAGCCAAGCTTTGAAGCAACAGAAGAAACACTGAGAAAAACCAACAAATCTTCTACAATTTTAAAAAGAAACAAGATAAAAATTAAGGGATACATGATAAACTGGTTACATGGTTGCTGAAAATACTTTAAAAGGTAAAATTTTTACTGTGCAGAGAGTTTTATGTATATGACAGTACCACATTGTTTTGATTACTGTAACTTTGCAATAAGTTCTGAAGTATGAATCCTCCAACTTTGTCCATTTTTTTATGATAGTTTTGGCTGTCCAGGTCCTTTGCAATTCCATATGAATTTGAGGATCAGCTTTTTATTTCTGCAAAAAAGACTCTGAATTTTGATAGGGACTGAGTTGAAGCTGTACATAACTTTAGGTACTGCATCTTAACAATATTAAATTCCCCTAGTCATAAACAAGAGATGTCTTTCAATTTATTTAGATTTTCTTTAATTCCTTTCCGCAATGTTTTGTCATTTTTAGTTGGTTAAATTTGTTTCAAGGTATTTTATTCTTTCAGACGCAATTGTTAAGTGGAATTGCTTTCTTAACATTCTTTGCAGATTGTTCGTTGCTGGCTTATAGAAACACAACTGATTGCTGTGTGTTGATCTTGCAGCCTGCAACTTGGGTGAATTTATTTTAAGTTCAAGTCTCAAGTACCTTTCTTTTTGAAACAGGTTCTCACTCTGTCACCCAGGCTGGAGTGCAGTGGCCTGATCATGGCTCACTATAGTCTCGACCTCCGAAGTCTCAGGTGATCCTCCTGCCTTGGCCCCCGGAGTAGCTGGGACTACAGGTGCCTTCTCAAAAAAGAGTTTGAGAAGGATTGGTGTTAATTTTTCTTTAAGTGTTTGGTTCAATTCATCAGTGAACTGGTGTGGTCCTGGACTCTTCTTTATCAGAAGGTTGACTGTCTTTTTTTAATAAGCCGCTGGAATGGGGTTGTGGAGTGCGTGAGGGTCCGTCAGAAGGTTTTTGATTACTGATTCAATGTCTTTACTTGTTACAGGTCTGCAGAGATTTTCTATTTTGCCATGAGTCATACTGGGTTATTTGTATCCTTCTAAGAATTTGTTCATTTCATCTAGTTATCTACTCTGTTGGCATACAGTTGTTCCTGTTATAATTCTTTTGTTTTCTGTTGGTAAGTAATAAAATTTTCCCTTATACTTCTGATTTTAGTGATTTGCAATGTCTCTCCCTCTTTAGCTCTTTTTATTGGGAAGGGGTCAGTCTAATTAAAGGTTTGCCAATTTTGTTGACTTCTAACCAACTAACTTTTCATTTTATTGATTCTATTATTTTCTAGTCTTTATTTTATTTAGCTGTGCCCTAATCTTTATTATTTCATTTCTTCTGCTATCTTTGGATTCAGTTTGCTCTTCTTTTTCTAGTACCTTAAGGTATAAAGCAAGGTTACTGATTTTTACTTTCTTCCCTTTTAGTCCTTCCTTTTAATACAGGCATTTATAGCTATAAATTTCTCTCTTCAGCACTGCCTTTATGGCATCCTGTAAGTTCTGGTGTATTGTATTTTCATTTTCATTCATGTATTTTCTAATTTCCCTGGTGATTTATTCTTTGACCTATGGTTGCTTAAGAGTGTGTTCACTAATTTCCACATATTTTTGAACACTCCAGGTTTTTTCTTTTCCTGTAATTGATTTCTAGCTCCATTTCATTGTAGTTGGAGATGATACCTTATACGACTTCAATCTTCTTCCATTTACTAAGATGTTTTTTGGCCTAACGTATGGTCTATCCTGGAGAATCTGCCATGTGTACTTTAAAAGAATGTACATTTTGCTGTTGTTGGGTGAAAAGTTCTATACATGGTTGTCCCTCAGTATCCATAGGGCACTGGTTCCAGGACCCTACTTGAATACCTAAAATCCATGGATGCTCAAGTCTCATATATAAAATGGTACAGTGTTTGCATACAACCTACACACATCCTCCCATAAACTTTAAATCACCTCTAGATTACAGTCACATATTGCTAAATGACAGGGATATGTTCTGAGAAATGCATCTCATTAGGTGATTTTGTCCTTGTGTGAACATAAATTGTACTTCCACAAACCTAAATGGCACAGTCTCCTATACACCTAGGCTATAGGGTATAGCCTGTTGCTCCTAGGTTACAATCCTGTACAGTATGGTACTGTCCTGAATACCGCAGGGAACTGTAACACAATAGTAAATACTTGTGTCTCTAAATATAGAAAAGATACAGTAAAAATATGATATAAAAGACAAAAAATGATACGTTGCGTATAAATATGGCACAAAAGTATGGTATAAAAATAAAAACTGGTATGTCATGTAAAGTATTATGAACGGAGCTTACAGGACTGGAAGTTGGCATGGATGAGTTAGTGACTGGTGAGTGAACGTGAAGGCCTAGGACATTACTGTACACTACTGGAGACCTGATAAACACTTTATACTTAGGCTACACTATTTTTAACATTTTATTTATCCAATAATAAACTTGGCTTACTGCACCTTTATAAGCTATTTACTATTTTAAAACTTTCTGAACTCTTCTGTAGTAACACTTAAAACACAAACACATTGTACAGATGTACAAAAATGTATCTTTTTCTTTTTCTCTTTTTTTTTTGAGACAGAGTCTCACTCTTGTCACCCAGGCTGGAGTGCAGTGGCACAATCTCAGCTTACTGCAATCTCCACCTCCCAGGTCCAGGCAAAGCTCATGCCTCAGCCACCAGAGTAGCTGGGATTACAGGCGTGTGCCACCACGCTCAGTTTATTTTTGTATTTTTAGTAGAGACGTGGTTTCACCAGGTTGGCCAGGCTGGTCTTGAACTCCTGGCCTCAAGTGATCCACCTACCTCAGCCTCCCAAAGTGCTGGGATTACAGGCGTGAGCCACCGCACCCAGCTATCTTTCTTTATATCCATTTTCTATAAGTGTTTTTCATTGGTAAAATTTTTGTTTTACTTTTGAAACGTTTTTGTTAAAAATTAAGACACAAACACACACATTAATATAGGGTTTACACAGGTTCAAGATCATCAAGACATTACTAGGTGACAGGAATTTTTCCAACTCCGTTATAATCTTAAGGGACCATTGTTGTATATGCAGTCTGTGGCTGATTAAAATGTCACGATCTGTACTTACAATACCTAATGTGATATAAATGCCATATAAGCAGTTTTTACCTTTGGAATAATGACAGGAAAAATCATCTGTACCTGTTCAATACAAATGCACCCATCTAATTTTCTTCCTCCAAATATTTTTGATCCATGGTTGGTTGAATCCACGAATACAGAACTCATGGATATGAAGGGCTGACTCTGTATCTGTTAGGTCTAGTTGGTTATAGTGGTGTTCACGACCTCAATATCCTTATTGACCTTGTGTGTGTATGTTCTATTCATTATTGGAAGTGAGATATTGAAGTCTTTAACTCTTTTTGTAGGGCTATTTCTCTCTTTAAGTCTGTCAAAAGTATTCTCAATGAAGTGAAGATTCCTACTATCTTTAAAACAGCCAAAATATGTTTTAACCCTTTACTATGTGCCAGGTTCTGGCCTATACATGTTAAATGCATTAACTAGTAGGTGTTATATTATCTCAAATTTATAGACGACACAGAGATGTGTTTGGCAAGTAGGTAAACATGATACAGTTTCCAATGCAGTAATGTTTATTGTAGAAAAAAATAAAAAGCAAACTATTAGATAAAATATGTGAATGAAAGTTAGAAAACCTGGGTTTACATTGTACTCTATCACTTATGACTATAAAATATTTAACTCTTCTGACCCTCAATTTTCTCAAATAAAAATAATGCCTAAGATTCTAGTTTGTACTTTATTATTCTTACCACCCAAAGCTCCTAGAATAGTGCTGGAAACAAAGCAGGCCCTGACTGAAAAGTATCTGGGATGGTGATGTAATTACTTCTATATACTAATCCTGCTCTAGAGGTACAGGTGTATATAGAAGACACATCTCTACTTCATAAAGGTAACCAGGACTACGAATTCATGATGAACTAAACAAACTCCCAAAACAAAAACAAGAATAAAATCAAGAGTTTATATTTCCATTTATAGCAAAGGAATTTGACTTGCAACCACTGAAATTCAATTGTCAGAGAAAAAGTAAGTTCTGACCAATTCTACCACATGATTCATTCATTAACTTAACAGGTTTATTAAACAAGTATTAAATATATGGTCCTTTGCCAGGGCCAAATTAACAATATACCTGTCTGTATTTTCAATAAGCTAGGTCACAGTTTAGCTGGAAATATACAGATTTGCAAATAAATAATTACAGTAAGAGCTAAGCTACAGGTATTAACAGAATTCCAAGAAGCAGTACAGGAGTATGTAGATTTTAAGGAGTATGATTCTTACATTTATGGATAATTGGACAGTAGACTAAGCATGGTCCTAAAAGAAGTAGGTGAAATGGGGCCTGACAGGTATAGCAGAGGAAACAGGATGGAAAAAGTTTGGAGTCAAAAAAGATAAAAGGCAGATACCACATTCAGACTATTATTTAGTATGGTAAAAATATCATGTCAATTTGATCTTAATTCACTCATTGTAATATACATGATACCATTATTACACTAACAGTTACTGAACACTTATAATGTGTCAGCTTACAAATGTACGTATGCACTCTTGACATGAAGTAGTTTTATAGATGAGAAAATTAAAATATAATGAGGTTAAACGTTGTTATGTTTTGCTTAAGACAGAGTTTCACTCTTGTTGTCCAGGTTGCAGTGCAATGGTGCAATCTAGGCTCACTGCAACCTCCACCTCCCGGGTTCAAGCAATTCTTCTGCCTTGGCCTCCTGAGTAGCTGGGATTACAGGCGTGCACCACCACGCATGGCTAATTTTGTATTTTTAGTAGAGATGGGGTTTCGTCATGTTAGTTAGGCTGGTCTCAAACTCCTGACCTGAGGTGATCCGCCCATCCCGGCCTCCCAAAATGCTGGGATTACAGACATGAGCCACTGTGCCCGGCCCCATAACGTTCTGTCCAATATTACATGTTACACAGCTAGTGACTGGTGAAGCAAGAAGTTAAGAATAGGTAGTCTGACTCCAGAACGGCTCAAGGATTTCCCTTGCAAAGCACCTTCTGCTGAGATAAGACTATGATCATTATCATCTTATCCTAACAAACACAAGTGTCTGCAAAGCTACCCCTGAGCTTCTCCTGAGTCGTTTATGAGATACAGAGAGGTTCTGGATATCTAACCATGACTCCCATGCAGATTACCAGTACATCTTGGGTAGGCAGGCAGTCCTTCATAAACATTCTAACTCCTTCCTGATAGATTCATGTTTCCCACTAAACATATCCTCCATTTTCTTCAGCATAATTAAGAAATCAGTATCAGCTTCCTACTGGTAAGAACGAGAATTATGAATACTAGGTTTGAAGAATGACTAGTTTTCACTGCACACCGAATACAGTGTATAAGCTAACACTCCTAACAAGCCTAAAGAGAAGAAAATTAATTAAGCTTCATAAATGTGAAGTCAAAAGATACCTTCAGTCCCTCCAATTCATTTTCCAGTTGCTTAGAATAGTGCTCACTTTGTTCACGTAGTTTCCTGTCTTTAGATGCTTCAGCAGCTAGAGCTTCTGTATGAACTTCCAGCTTTAAAACAGAATGAAAAAAGCAGATTTCATGGTTATAATCTTTTTCCAAACAAAACATTTATCCCAATGAGAATTTACCTTGTAACGGGAAGATAATTCAAATGTTTAAATCCATATTAAATAATATTAACAAACTATAAAAATAACTTTAAAAAATATTAAATAAAAAATTATATATGATATCACTAGTCTTAAAAAGTAGCTTTAATCACTATCCCATGGGCACTACAAAATTTGCCTGACTACTAACCTCTTTTTTGGCTCTTTCTGTTCTGCGCAGTTCTTGCCTTAAGCTTTCAACTTTTTGCATCACCAGGTCCACCTCTTCTTCCTTATCTCGGACATGGCGAGCAAGTTTCTGTTTTTGGGTGTGCAATTCTGTTAGCCGCTCATTGATCTCCATGAATTCCTGCATGGCCAGTTTCCTCTGACAGTGTGCGTCTTTCAGCTCTTTGGATTGGTTTTTTAATCGCTCACTAGCCTGGACTAGTTCCTACAGTTTTGTAAAAAGAATATAAGTTACCAATTCTGCAACCTAGAGACCAAATTTGGCCATCAGAATAGCTATTATTAAGTCAAGAAGAGCCAAAATTATTCACCTTAGGACAAATTAAAATAAATAAACTACTTCTGAACAGCATGGTGTCTTGACATAAATAAACTACTTCTTAACGGAATGGTGTCCTGATATGGTCTCAATTCCTTATGCTAATACAGTAAATGCACGGGAGCTGCTAATTTAACCTGATAGTACCTTAATTTCCACAAATGAGGAAAAAGTTTAGGAATAAACGATATGATGGTCAAAATAAATATTTGTAAAATTTGATAAATATTTGTGAGGTTGTTTTCATAAAAAACAAGCATTGCCCTTGACATGGAGGCTACGCCTCAAGCCAGAAGCAAGGAGACAGAAACTAAACCGGAGACTCCCTAATTGAAGTGAGAAACTTAAAGGAGAGCTAAAGTGGACTCAGGGCAGTACCACTACCTACCTCCCAGCAAAAGGAAATGCAGATTTTCTTTGGGGAAAAGAACTGCAATGAAATCTGAATTTTTCACATATTAAGAACAAACAAGAATGAGCTCACAACCACAGATTCCAAATTACTCAAAGAACAAAGCACCACAATCAAATAACAAAACAATAAAAATAAACATCAAAGGTATCTTGGTATTAAAATCATTAGATATCAACACAAAATTGCTACATATGAAATGTTTAAAGGAATAAAAGATGAAATAATAAAAATGAAAAAATGACAAAAGGCTATTAAAAATGACCAAGCAGATTTATAGAAGAACTGTATGGAACATTTAGAAACAGAAAACGTTAAGGTTGGCCCAGTTGGTCTCATCTATAATCCCAGCACTTTGGGAGGCTGAGGCAGGAGGATTGCTTGAGCCAAGGAGTTCAAGAGCAGCCTAGGTGACATTGTGAGACTTCATCTCTACAAAAAATAACAATGCCCAAAAAACCAAAAAAGGCCAGGTATGGCGGTGTGCGCCTATAGTTCTAGCTACTGTGATGGGAAGATGACTTCAGCCTAGGAGGCTGAGGCTGCAGTGAGGTGAGATCACTCAGTTGCACTTTAGCTTGGGCAATACAGTGAGACTCCACCTCAAAAAAAAAAAAAAAAAAGAAGAAAAAATATAAATGTTAAAATTAAAGACATGCATCAATCACTAGAGGAAGCTCTACATTTATGAATCAAGAAAAAAATTTAAAAACCCAAACCAGACATGTTCAAAAAACAACACTCTTTGGTAATACCAAAGAGAAATAAAAGACCGTAAAGAAATCAGAGGGACAAAAAGACAAATCACCTATTCCCCATCCTCAAATAAGGTGGGAGGAGGAAAATCAGACTAAGAATATAAACTGAAGAAGTAACAACAGCAACAGAAACAGGGTAAAATATTTTCAAAGACATGAGAAGATAATTAAAATTATATACCCGAAAAATTACTTTTCAAGTCTGAGGCTTCATATAAACAAAAACTGGCAGAGCTTACCATAATCAGATCTGCACTAAAGGAACCAGTAAAGCTTTATCTCAGGAAGAAAAAAATGATTTTAGAGATCTAATGCAAGAGAAATGAATAGCTAATAAAATGGTTAACGTGAATGTGAATGTAAATAAGTGTATATATAAGATTATACTATAAAAATGTTAACTTTGTACAGTAAACAAAAGATACAGCTAAAATACTGGCCAATAACAACACATAAAGAAAGTTATAAAGAGGTAATACAGGTTGAATATCCCGAATCCAAAAAATTTGAAATCCGAAATGTTTCAAAATCCAAAACTGTCTGAGTGCCAACATGATGTTCAAAGTGAGCATTTCAGATTTTGGATTCTCAGGTTAGAAATACTCAACTGGTATAATGCAAATATTCCAAAATCCGAATGCCGGTCCCAAGCATTTCAGATAAGGGATACTCAATCTGTAAAATTAAACCTCTTTAAATTGTTTCTGGGAAATAGTTTTAAGATATTTAACTTCAACTTAAACTTGGTTAATACACATGGTAGAAGCCAAGAGTAACCACCAAAAGACTAGAGAGTAAAGTAAAATGTCAACAACAGCAACAACAAATGTCAGTGAAGAAGAAAGAAATGATTTTGCAAACAGAAAGAATTCTGGAGACTGCTGCATAAGAATGTAAATATACTTAACATTAATTAACTGTGCATTTGAAAATTGTTTAGATGGTAATTTTATCTTATATGTATTTTACCACAGCTAAAAACTTTTGAGAAGGGAAGAAGGGAAATAAAAAGCAGCATGCAAAAATCATGACAAACAGAAAACAAAAAATAAGATAGTAGAGACATATCCATATACATTAGCAATCACCAGTTAAAGGCCATCTATTATATTGGATTAATAAATGAAATCTTGACTTCAATAGAAAAAGTATTATTAAGGATAAGGAATGTCACTACATAATGATAAAATTCAATACACTAAGAAGAAATACTATCCTAAACTTTTGTGCATTCTATAAGATAGTCTCAAAATCATTAAAAAGAAACTGTTAGAACTTCAGAGAAAAATTGGTAAACATCACTATAATGAAAAATTTTAATTTCTTAGTCATTAATAGATAAACCAAGTAGGCAAAAAAAAAAAAAACGGTGAATATAAAGACGATCTGAAAAGCTCAACTAACAAGCTTCATGTACAGAAGCTTGCTCTCTAAATTGGAACACAAACTATTTTCAAGAACACATATTGAATGTTTTAAAAATGGAACAGGCTAGGCCACAAAGCAAGTCTCAGTAGATTTCAAAGAACAGATATTATGTAGAGCAAGTTCTGTAATGACACTGCAACTAAATTAGAAGTCAACAAAAAAAAATAAAACTCCATACACTGAAAATTTTAAAAGATACTTATAAACAACTCACTGGTCTGTGAGAAAAAGAACCAATGCAATTCAACTGTTTCTATGAGACCAGTATAATCTGAATATCAAAAAAAAAAAAAAAAAAAAAAAGAAAAGAAAGAGGAAAAATAGCCGGGCGCGGTGGCTCAAGCCTGTAATCCCAGCACTTTGGGAGGCCGAGACGGGCGGATCACGAGGTCAGGAGATCGAGACCATCCTGGCTAACACGGTGAAACCCCGTCTCTACTAAAAAATACAAAAAACTAGCCGGGCGAGGTGGCGGGCGCCTGTAGTCCCAGCTACTCGGGAGGCTGAGGCAGGAGAATGGCGTGAACCCGGGAGGCGGAGCTTGCAGTGAGCTGAGATCCGGCCACTGCACTCCAGCCTGGGCGGCAGAGCGAGACTCCGTCTCAAAAAAAAAAAAAAAAAAGAAAGAGGAAAAATAATAACACACCAATCTCACTTATAAAAAGAAACGTGAAAATCCTTTTTAAAAATTAGTAAATCAGTTCCAGTGATATATAAAGTAGATATGCATGAAGTCTGGCGCTAAACTCCTTGTGCTAAAAATCTAGCTCCACCACTTTCTATTTCTATGACCTTGAGCAAGTGAACTAATTTCTCTGTGCTTGGTCTCACCATTCATAAAATGAGAATAATGATATCACCTAACTCATGGGGCTGTGATGGAGATTAAATAATTTAACATATGTAAAGCTTTCACAACAGTGCTATTAGAACAGATATTTGCTACATAAATGTTATCTATACTATCACAGTATTATAAGAAATTTGGGCTTAACCCAGAAATATAACAGTGACTTAATATTAGAAAAAGTCTACAAATGTAGTCCACCACACCAACTTATTGAAGGATAAGAAACATATAATCATATCAATAGAGCACAGAAGGGCACATTGAATAAAGTCAATACCCATTCTAAATAAAAAGCTATTAACAAAATAGGAATAGAAGGTAACTTCTTTAACCTGATAAAAATTATTTATTAAAAACTTACAGCAAACATTATTAGTGATGAAATATCAGAGGCAATTTCTTTAAAATTGGGGAACAAGATGGGGATGCCTGCTATTATCATTTCTAGTCAACATTGTACTGAGGTTCTAGCTAATACAGTAAAACAAGGAAAGAAATGAAAGTCTTTTCTGTACGAAATTTTATGGAAGAATATTTTAAAAGAACTTTAAATATATGGAGCGATATGTTTACGAATAAAAAGACTTTAGGAATGCAGAAAAACTTTCATGTTTTTGCAGTTTGTCCCTTCTGAACAAATTTTATCAAAACCTGGGCTAAATGAAAGTCTTAAAAAGTAACTTATAACTGATTTAGTAGGGAGAAAACTAAGATTTACCTTCTGGAGGTTATGTGTTTACATTACAAGGTGGGGTGGCAGAGAGTAGGAGCCTAGAACAAGGGGGCTTCCTTTGATAGAGCAGAAGACTCTGGGCTTATATTTACAGTGGAAATATTTATCTATGTTCCAAAGGGTTAGAGAAAGAACCCAAGATCCTTCTCTTTAGATTTCCAAGGAACTCTCTCAGAAGAGGAGAAAGCAGGAAGCAGTGGCTTCTTTTCTCTATGTAAACACCTGGATAAATGTTTTCAAGGCTCCTCATTTACAATACAGATTCCTTCTGTGTAGGGTTTTATCCTGCCAGCTCTCAGGGTATTTCTCTTGAGGTAAGACTTAGCACAGAAGGGAGCCATGTAGTTATTCCTTGCTGTATGTAAGTAATAACAGTCCATTCTATTCTGGAAATAATCTGTGTGTATATTCAGAAAAACAGTAATAAATATATATAGTAAGAACTTAAAGACAATATTGTAATGATGTTAATTCTCTCTAAATTGATCTATAAATTCAATGCATTTTTTTTTCCTTGAGATAGGGTCTTGCTCTGTTGCTCAGGCTGGAGTGCAGTGACATGATCATGGCTCATTGCAGCCTCGATCTACCAGGCTCAAGAGAACTTCCTGCCTCAGCATCCTGAGTAGCTGGGATGACTGGCGTGCACCACCAGGCTAATTTTTTTTATTTTTTGTAGAGACTGGGTCTCATTCTGTTGTTGCCTAGGCTGGCCTCAAACTCCTGGACTCAAGTGATCCTCCTGCCTCGGCCTCTCAAAAGTGCCAGGATTACAAGCATGAGTCACGATGCTCAGCAGATCAAATGTAATTTTAATCAAAATTCCATCTTCACAGTTTTTAAAACATAGTTGAGATACAGACTCTAAAATTTTAAAACTTTAAGATAAAAATTTAGGAGAAATTTTTAAAATCTCAGATTTTTTTATATAAGACAGCAAATACACTAACCATAAAAATATTGATAAATCTGGCCACAATAATCCTAAGAACGTTTTTTAATAAAAAGATTCCTAAAAGCAAAAAGATAAGCCACTGATATTTGTAACACATATAACTCACAAAAGATAAGAATGTCCAAATATTTCCAAGAATTCTTATAATCAGTAAGAAAAAAACAACCCAACAGAAAAATAAACCAAAGATATTAAGAAATATTTCACAAAAGAAATGTAAATGACAATAGACCCATGTGAAGATACTTGACCTCATTAGTAATTAGAGAAATGCACATTAAGACCACAACCAAACATTTTCTAAAACCTAAAATCTCAATTTAGACTAGATTGGCCAAAAGTAATAAATCTGGTAATATGAACACAAACTCCTATATACTACTCGTGGAAATGGAAGTTGGTATACTAGAAAACAGTTTGGCATTATAAAAAATCAGAATATTTGCTAACCCAATCAAAAAATGGGCAAAGGACCTCAGTGGACATTTCTCTAAGAAGACATACAAATGGCCAATAGGTATATGAAAAAGTATTCAACATCACTAGTCATAAGAGAAGTAAAAACCAAAATCATAATGAGCTGTCACTTCACAGCTATTGGAATGGCTATTTTTTTTTTAAAAGACAAAGGATAACAAGTGTTGGCAAGGAATGTGGAGAAAAATCATTTTCTAATGCCTATAGGATATTAAGCAAATCACTCAAAATCCTATATTGGTATCATCTGTTTCTTTTCGTCAGCACTATTGTCTTCTCAAAATATATGAAAAGGATTTTTCATGCTAAAACATTAAAAATTGGTGACTATCTGTCACTATAAATCTAGCGGTCAGATTTTCATCCTCTTTTCAAAGGGTTAGAGGAAGAACCCAAGATCCTTCTCTTTAGATTTCCAAGGAACTCTCTTAGAAGAGGAGAAAGCAGGAAGCATAACATCCATTATGTTAACTACATTTGGCTGAGTAATCCTACCAATAAATATAAAATGGTAAACCATTAATATTACTATAATATTATTAAAGTTAATAGAACACTAACTGTTTTAAATGACAAATATTATTAAATTGGCAATGAATTTAAATGGGCCTATACAAAAAATTGGTTGAAACTGCATTAAGAAGAAAGTAAAAATGTATTGGTCTATTTCAATCTATTCTTTAATAGCGTTCTCTTTTAGTCCTTTTGATTAGTTTCATCAGCTAAAGGTTATTTGTTTTATTTTTAATTCCCTCCATTTCTTTCCTGGCGCAAAGACTTTCAAATCTTCCCCCAGAGGATTTCATTCATTCTATATTATCAGTGCATTATATTAATATATTACATTATTGAATACAACTTATGCTATGCCATAAACTACAGATTTCTTGTTTGCAATGGCTAGTATTAGTCCCAACATTTTTGTATTAATGAAAGTCACAGTGCTTAGCAGCATGTGGTTCAAGAAAAGTATTTTCTCTAGTGCTTGAATATTATTTACCCTATTGGGCTATGTTACAGAGTCTTAACTATCAATAAATTTTCTCGATGTTTAAAATAATGTTTAAATGTTATACACAGTTCTTATGAAAATCACTTTAGCTTTTTTACCCATGCTGCTTTGAAAGATAAAAACTGACATTTAAAACAAATAACCAAAGAAATTTTAAATTATATTTTAAGAATGTTCTTATCAGTAAGTTATAATGAAAATATGCCTGTATTTTAAATTTTTTCTATAGATGCTAAACAGATTCTACTATTTTCTTATTTCTTCGTGTTTCTTTTTCAATAACATTCACTTTTAATCTAGTCCTTTGACTATTAACTTTCTAAAAGAACAAAAGATTCTGAACTTTCAAGCTTCAACAATTTAAAAGTTTATTACTAGCTACTCATCAAATGACATACACCAAAATAATCCTTATATTTTTAAACCAACTTTTAAAAAGATAAAATATACTATGTATTATTGTAATTCATTATGAATGCTTTCAGTATTCTATTATACAAGATTCAAAACAGAGAAAAAGCTTTAATGATCTATTCACATATTTTACCTTATTTAGATCTTCTCTTTCTTGTTGTAACGTTTTGATTTGTTTTTCATAAGCCTTGATTTGTCTAAAAGCTTCATCTAGTTCTTGCCTCACAGCATTAGCTTCTTCAAGTTGCTGTTCCAAATGACTCAATTCTAAAAACAAAAGACAAATGTTTCTTTTACTATTTGTATAAAAGCAAATGATTGAACCTAAGGTAAAACAACTAAATTTTTTTTTTAATCAGTATTTTGAATTTGGTGTTAGGTCTACTGACAGTGTATACCAGTATGACTCTTGACAAATTAAATGCTTATCAGTTCACTGTAAAGATGGTGAATTACGTATGCCAGTGTGAAAATGTGCAAAATTTATGTGCAGAAATGCCTTACAGATTCATTGTGAAAAAAAATACTTGCAAAAACAGCACCTTCAGACCAATTAAAAATTTAAAACTAACAAGCAACAAGAAACCCAACCAACAACAACAAAAAGTCAAGTTTTACTGCAGTGTTGGTAAGCATCCTAAGGCTCATGTTAGTCAAATTACTGTGTAAGATGATTTTGATTCTAACAGGGTGGTTCCAAATCACCCAGTCTAGTTACACCACTGTTTATCTGAAGAATAAACTCTGATTTCCAAAAAGCACATACCTGAAAAACTCCTGATCTAAATCAATTCTTCTATTTTTTGATGAAGAAACTCAGGGAGTTGAATAATTTGCCTAGTCACATTGCAAAATGTGTATCAGAGATAAGACTAGAGCCCAGGAAATCTTGCACTGACTTCTCCACTTTACATGGTAATGTTATTAAATAATGTTTAACATTCTCAGATAAGAGGGGATATTAAGAAACAACAACATTATTTATTTTAACCTATGCCTTAAAATGTAATAAATTGATAGGAAATGTTCCTGGTATTAAAAGTAAACTAGGAAAGAACTGAAGTCAATGATACAGAGAAATCTAAACAATATTCATGATCAGTTCTGCTCTGGATATTTTCTGTTCTTTACACATTATTACTCTGAGTCAGCAATACCCAACCTTTTTGGCACCAGTGACCAGTTTTGTGGAAGACAATTTTTCCATGGCCCAGGAGTCTGGGAGCTGGGAGATGGTTTTGGGATGAAACTGTTCTACCTCAGATCATCAAACATTAGTTAGATTCTCGTAAGAGGCATGCACTCTAGATCCCTCGCATGAGCAGTTCACAATAGGGTTCACGGTCCCATGAGAATCGAATGCCACCGCTGATCTGACAGGAGGTGCAGCTCAGGCGCTAATGCTCACTCACCTGCCATTCACCTCCTGTTGTGCGGCCCAGTCTGCCGGTACTAGTCTGTGGCCCGAGAATTGGGAATCCCTGCTCTAAGTGACATCCCCAGAAAAGTGACATGAGCATCCCTTAGGAACTTAGATATGGAGAATATCAAGCCCCAATCAAGACCTAATGAAGCAGAATCTATACAGTATCCTCAAGTCATTCATTTGTACATTAATGTGTGGGAACCAGTGCACAAAGTGTTGCATACTGTTGAGACTGATGCTTTCAATAAATGAAGCAGTGTTAATATGTTAGTCCTATTGGGAAAAGCAATTCACTTGTGTAGATGAAATCTGCAGTCTAAAAATTACTTAAATGTATTAGTGTATCATGCATTGTATAGTACTACATTCCATAAATAACTGGTATCAGTGCAATAAACTTACAGATTTCAAACTTACTTTGAAAGTATAGTTATTAATAGCACAGTTAACTTTTGAAGATGTAAAGTTGTATTAACTGGTTTTCATAGTATCTGAACAGTATCAATTAATGAATGCTTATGTGAAGAAAACTAGAAATCATAGGGTGTTTAATCTTAATCATGGTGTTTAGTCTTATATTCAGAAAACTGTATTTTATCACTTTATCACATTTTGGCATTTCATAGGGGAATATTTCTATTTAAATTAATTTCTTTCAAACACATTTAAATATTTTCTAGTTCAAGTTTTTAACATTTTTAGGATTTCAAGAATTTCTTGTTTTTCTTTTTTTTTTTTGAGACGGAGTCTTGCTCTGTCCCCTAGACTGGAGTGCAATGGTGTGATATTGGCTCACTGCAACCTCCGCCTTCCAGGTTCAAGCAATTCTCCTGCCTCAGCCTCCTGAGCAGCTAGGATTACAGACACTTGCCACCATGCCCGGCTAATTCTTGTATTTTTAGTAGAGATGGGGTTTCATCATGTTGGCCAGGCTGGTCTGCAACTCCTGACCTCAGGTGATCCGCCCACCTCAGCCTCCCAAAGTACTGGGATTACGGGCATGAGCCACCGCGCCCGACCTGGATTTCAACAATTTCTAAAGTAAATATCAATTTACTTTTGTTATTTCTCATAATTAAGAGTAAAAATGTAGCCTGTAAAGCAGCTGACTTCTGTCACTTCCTGGTTCATTTTAATTACATTTTATGGTTAAGGAAAATCAATTTAGAGTAGCGATATGGTACATTTAGTAATCCATTCTGAGCACACTTTCTTTCTTCTACTTTTGAAGTGTTCTTCTCTGACATGTTCAATTTTTTCAGAAATTATTGTTACTGACTTATTTCAACAGCTCTGAGAAACAAAAAAATTCAGTATTTCATAAAATTTCCCTATCATATAAAGTTTATAACAGATGATATCACATGGGATAGCATCTAAAAGCTTTAAGGATATTTTTACTGATTTATTTCAATACAGTGTTAATTTTAGTTTTCACCACAGCCATTTTATTTTGGCTGCTTTGCAATGGAGTTGTTGGAGAAATGGAAATATATGTCAAATTTCCCTGTTTTATATTTCAGACACTTTTCAAAATGAAAAAAGCTCAAAACATTCATTTAAACAACAGTATGTGAATTATGAGAAGTACAAAAGAATGTACTAGATTAAGAAGTGTTGGAAAAGATAACCCCTCCTCCAATATTTCATAAAATCCTCCATTATGGAGGGAAACACAGCACTCGTAATTTGGAAAACACAGAATGTTGCATTCCCGAAAGATGAACACCCCATATCAAGAAAAATCCAGAATGCTTTGAACTTTGGTCAAATACTATAAAATGGGTAAAGCAGCAGAGCCTTTACTTTCACTACAACAAATAGCAAATATGGCTAAAATTCTGAAAGAAATCCAGAGACTATTAAAAATATCCAACACAATTAGCCATGACATTTAGATAAAGTTGTTAAAAACTAATTATAGTGAACAAATAGAAAAAGCTGTACTAGGCCAGGAACCATGGCTCATGCCTGTAATCCTAGCACTTTGGGAGGCTAAGGCGGGCAGATCACCTTAGGTCAGGGGTTCAAGACCAGCCGGGCTAACATGGTGAAACTCCAGCTCTAGTAAATATAAAAAAATTAGCTAGGTGTGGCACACACCTATAAACTCAGTTACTTGAGAAGGGCTGAGGCAGGAGAATCACTTGAACCCAGGAGGTGGAGGATGCAGTGAGCCAAGATCGCATCACTGCACTCCGGCCTGGGCAATAAAATGAGACTCTGTCTCAAAAGAAAAAGCTGTACTAGGAAACTGGGTTAGCTGATATCAACTAAATGGTTCTTAGCTCACGGATGCTATTTAGGACTGTAAAATTCAACTTGTTAGTAATGAGGACTTAATGAAGGTATCATACATATGGGGTTATTTTCTTGGTGCTATATGGCATGGAAAAGAAATATAAAATATGGTCTCTGTCTTGAAGGAGATAAGTTAGACAACAGCAACACTCTTTTAAAAAATAATAACGTAGAAAATCAAATGCAAATTGTGTGGCAGGCTATATATGCTATAGGAATTGAGGTCCAAAAATGGGCATGATTAAAGCAGTATTCAAAGTGGAACACTATAAACTGGAAAGGGGTTAAGACTGGGGCCAGCAGGAGGTTGGCAGAACAACCAAAACATCTCCCTGATCCACAAGATGGATATTTTCATTTTTCCCATTATGTAACTCTTCTGAGATGCGAAGAAACTTTACTTCTAATTATAATCAGTAAAAACAGGCTCCCTTATTATCAACTTAACAATAACCCACAACACTCGGACCAACTCAGGCTCCCTTATTATCAATACTCCTATTCACAGGGGAGAGAGGGAAGGAGAGAGAGAGACAGAATGTGTGTGTGTGTGTGTATGTCTGTGTGTGTGTTAGTTTAGGGTTGGACAAACAGAAACGGTACACAGAGACGCATATCCCCAACCTCAAGGCAACATAAGAATGAGAGTTTCAAAAGTACATTATAGATTATAATAAATTTTTCATTTAGGAAACAAAAAAATCCTATTTTCTCATACAAAAATATTAAATGAGGTATGAATTTTTTATTTAAAAAAATTTTATTTTTGTCTGCTGATACTCAACAAATATATATTTAGTGTCTGTTATACAATACTGGCAATAAGCTTGGCATTAGGAATGTAGTAGGAAAACCTACTATAACCTACTTCCTAACCTTTAGGAGCTCAGAGTATGGTAAAGAAGCAAATATTAAAAAGAAGTTGTCAATAACTATAAATTTGTCACATTTTTTCCAGGAACTTAAAAATATTGGAGAACACTGCTGTTGGGAAACACAAGATAACCAGTCATTAATGGTGGGTATTTGTATACACAAAGACTTTGCTCAAGAAGTATCTGGAGGAATGACAGATTGAAGGTATTTGGGATACTTTTTTCTTCAGAGCCAAATTAAAGTTGGGGCTACTCATCAGGCAGGTCTTAAAGGGAGCCTTCAATTTGTATTTTTTGTTAAAAAGGGAAGGAAAAAAGAAAGGGAAGGAAAAAGACAGTATGTGAAGGAAGTGGAGCATCACGGGGTGATTCAGTATGGCTGGAATCACTGGACAAGGGAGTAGTAACAAGAGATAAAGCTCGAGAGGCAAATACATGCATAATAATGAAGGGCCTTGTATTAGAATTGAGAAATTTCTACTTTATCCTGCAGGCAATGGGGGTCCACTGAAGATATTTATGTTGAAGCTGTGACATGAACAGACTTACATTTTTAAAGCTTACTCTGGAGACTTCAAGTTCTGGGAAGATGGAATAGATATATTTCCCATTCTTCCCATTAAGTATAACTTAAAACCCTAGACATTATACATAAAACAAACATAAGACGACTCTGAAATGTGAAGGAAAAAACTTCCTCAGGACATTGGGATCTGATAAACAACATAATGGTTGAGTTTTCTGGGGTTTCTTCTTGGTTCATATACCCCAGAATTAGAGCTAAAGATGATAACCCACAAATGACAACAGCTATAAAGAGAAAAAGCCCCAACAAAAGCCTGCTCTTTCTAGCCAAAGGATTAGGAAAGGGGTAGACCAGGAAGACAGAAAACTCATAGACAATAACAATTCTACTTGAGATAAACATCACAGAAAAAAACTGGTCCCATGTCACCAATGTCAACAATGGATAAGTGCAGGGGGGCTAGATTTCCAACCTCATGAGGCTATAATGAGATGCTCAAACATATCTGCAAAAGTGGTGTCAGAAAAACACTGGGTGTGGTTACTCATGCCTATAATCCCAGCACTTTGGGAAGCTGAGGAGGGTGAATCACTAGAAGACAGGAGTTCGAGACCAGCCCAGGCAACACAGCGAGACCCCATCTCTACTAAAAACACAAAACATTAGCCGGGTGTGGTCCCAGCTACTCTGAAGGATGAGGCACAAGAATTGCTTGAACCTGGGGGATGGTGGTTGCACTGGGCTGACATCATGTCACTGTACTCTAGCCTGGGCAACAGAGTGAGACTCTATCTCCAAATTAAAAAAAAAAAAAAAAAAAGAGTGGTATCACAAAAAGACAGGACATTAACCCTCACTGGCTGACAACAAGCCTCCCCTCACACACACTGTCAGTGGAAACCACACAGGAAACCTGGACTTCTACCTCCAACCTGGGTTGACTTTTGGATCGCAAGCATACTGTATTTTCAATCTCTATGTGGTTGGGAAAAAAATCTGCATATAAGTAGATCCACACAGTTCAAATCCATGTTGCTCAAGGATCAAGTGTATTTACAAATTTACAGCATATTTAATTTTACTTTAAAATAAATCATTTATAATAAATGTATAATTTTATAATAATTTTATGCTGCCTCAGCATCCATTTTGAATGCAGGTTTAGCTTTCTTGTTTCAGAGGCAGGGTTTAGTCACTCTTGATGCAGTTTTAAATTCTACACCACACCCAAGGGGCTCAAGCTGGAGACATCTCTCCCACCTAGCAGACTGGGATCCTGCCTTCCAGCCACCTCCTCTAAAGGGACCATTCAAGCACTGGCTTCCAAACTTAAAGTGATCTACATCCTATTCCCTAATATATACTGCTAATTGCCATGCTCTCCTGCTCAAGGCTCTCTGTCTCCCTGCACTCCCTGACCTCCAGGTGTGTGGCCTCCAGGTGTGCCATGTGCCACAATGTCTGTAAGTACTAAAAACTCTTAAATGTTCACATTGAGGTTGTCATTGACGCTGTACCAGCAATCTGACTCCTGACTGCAAGGCTGCTTCAGAAAGGATGCATGCAGGTGGATCCCCTGCTAGTGCTCTTTTGTTCAGGCCTCTGGTGGCTGCTGGTGACAGTAGCCACCAGCTATGTTGACAGAGAAACAGCCAGTACAAGAAAGAAAGAAAGGAAAAAGAAGAAGAAGAAAAAAAAGAACACTAAAGACTAATATCCTTCATGTATATAGATGCAAAAATCCTTAAAAATATATTAGGAATGGAATTCAGCAACATATAAAAATAATTGTACACCATGACCACTGTTTACAAGAGGGATGTATGGCTGGTTCAACACTTTAAAATCAACCAATGTAATTCGCCATATTAACAGGTTATTTTTTGAAAATCATATGTTCATATCAATTGATGCAGAAAAAGCATCTGACAAAATTCAGCACCCATTAATGATTTTAAAAGCCCTTATAAATACAAAAACAGAAAGAAACTAATGCTTTCCCCCAAGATTGAGAAGCTAGAATGTTCTTCTCATCATTCTTCTTTAGCATAACATAGTGCTGCAAGTTCTTGCAATAAGGCAAGAAAAGGAACCAAAAAGCATATAGATCAGAAAGGGAGAAATAAAACTGTTCCCACCTGCAGATGACATGATCGTCAGAATTAAAAATCCCAAATAAACTATTTTTTAAAACCCTATTAGAACTAATAAGGGAGTGTAGCAACACTGTAGAATACAAAATAAACATGTAAAAATCAACTATATTTCTATATATTAGCAATAAACACATGAACAATAAAATTAAAAATACAATACTATTTGGAATTGCTCAGAAAATGAAATTACTTATCATGATTCTATATATAATGGGTTAGACATCAACACAGGTTTCCTTTGGATAGTGCCAGAACATTACTGTGAATGACAGCAAAATGTTTTAAGATTTAAAAATTTAGCTCTTACACAGAGCTAACAAAGAAGCTCACAACTATTTTGGTGAATGACATAACAACTAGATTATTGATTTGAATATTTTACATCAATATCATCTATTTCAAGGCAGTTTTAAAATTAATTAGCAAGCTTTCAAAAGCTACTGCCATTCAAAGCCACATTCTACTATTAAAAAGAGAAGAGACAGGCTTATGAATAAGTTTTCCAAATTCCTATTGCCTCTCTGAAGACAAATCACCGACCATTCTAGCTGGTCTTCTGTTCTACTGCTTTTTTAGTGTCATACAACTCTAATGTAGACATTCAATGACACTCTTAATGTTACTGTTGCTACCAAAGTCCATGATTCACTTATCACGTTCCCAATCTATAATAACTTACTTTTGGAAAGATAAAAGTAACAGAGATTAGATATATAGATATTTCTTAGGAGGACAGCCTCTTAAAAACACAAAATAGCATTCACAAATTATGCTCAAAATTAAGATCTCCATATATTTAAAATAAACAAAGTGCTAATATGGCATTTTAAATAGTCACTTTTATAAAAGATGCTACATTAGATTATTTCTTCTCTTTTACTTATTTTTGCCTAAAACTGCCTTTCTGGAGAGGCCTGACCATTCTCGTTAAAACAGTACCTTCTGCTCTCTCTTCCTATCCCTCTACTTATTCAGATCATGTAATGCCTCTAAACCCTGCAAAAAACTGCCATTTCATTCTGAGTAAAAACCAAAGACCTTACGACAATCAGTAAGGCTCTACTGATCAGGCAACAAGCCCATTTCACCCCTTTAGTTCTCACTTCCTTCCATTCTCCCTGCTTGCTCATTCTGCTCCAGCCATGCAGTACTCTGTTTTACTTGAACACCTGGGGCACATTTGATTTTAGAGTCTTTGCACCAGCTAGTCTTTCTGCTTAGAACATATATTTTGCAGATAACTGTATGGCTAACCCCCTTGCCTTCTTTAAATTTTTGCTAACATGTCACCTTCTCAGTTAGGCCTACCCCTGGAGCACTATACTTAAAATGATAAAACTCCTCATTTTGCACATCTAATTCTCCTTATTCTATTTTTATTTTTAAAGCACTTATTACCTTCTAACATATTGTATCATTTACAAAGTTATATATTTACTGGTTTCTGTTTTCTGTCCTTTACCCAGGCCAAAGCAAAGATTTTTTGTTTAAAGTTGTTTTGCTTAAGTTGAATCCCAAGAGCCTAAAAAAACACCTGCTACATAGTAGGTGCTAAATATATATTTATTGAGTAAATGCAATAAATGAATAATAGGTATACAAACACTTGTCAAATTTAATTTTAATCTTAGTAATACAAAGAAAAAATAATTGCATAACAAATAAAATAAATTTTCCTGATGCCTGTATACATGCACTCTGCTTGTCTCTAGTGTCCTTCCTCACACCTTACTCACCTTTTCCTCTCCTCACAAATATGCTTTGCCAGACAAATTCCAAAATGAACAGGCCTTCCAAAAAAGCCATCCTTATTCACATAAGTCTGGGTTAGGTGATCCTCTATGTACTCTCCACGTATCTCCATTTATTTTTCCTGATAGCCTTTTCATACGTATTGCAATAACTGTTTATCTGTTTCCCAGACCAAAATGTGAACTCCTTGAGAGCAGAACCCATTCTTATTTGCCCTTCCCTGACTACCATGCAACTCACATCACATAACACAGACAGGTTCTCAATAGATGTTTTTTGTGTGAATAAACCATTGTTTAAACATTTCCTAAATTGAATTAGCAGTGAATCACAGATATTTACCTGTTACTTGTTTCCTTAGTTTTTCAATTTCTTCTTTTAAGTTTTTTATTTCTAAATCTTTGCTTGCTGTTAGCGGACCATCAACAGTTGAATACTGCAGAGCTTGGACAGTCTGTGTTGACTCTTTAAAAAAAAGAATTATAAAAATATCACCATACTCCAAATTCTTAACACTAATAACATTATATTGTTTGCAGAGAAATTCTTACACAATTTATAGAACAAAACATCTACTCACTGATAAAAAGCATGTGAATACGTAAAAATTAGGTCATAAAAAATCAGGCCAGGCATGGTAGTTCAAGCCTGTAATCCCAGCACTCCGGGAGGCCAAAGTGGGAGGATCACTTGAGTCCAGGAGTATAAGACCAGCCTGGGCAACAGAGTGAGACCCTTTCTCTACAAAAGATACAAAAATTGGCAGGGCATAGTGGCACATGCCTGAAGTCCCGCTACTCAGGAGGCTCAGATGGGAGAACTGCTTGAGCCTGGAAGGTTGAGGTGGTAGTGAGTCATGATCATGGCACTATACTCCAGCCTGGGAGACAAAGTGAGACTCTATAAAAAAAAAAAAAAAAAAAAAAAATCCGCTGCATATATATATATATATATATATATATATATATGAAATAATCCACCTTCTAATAATTTTTGGTTTTAAATACTGTTGGTGTACTCTGCCAGTGAATCAACTACGTAGCTCCTTTTTCTCCTAGTAGGAACATCACCATGTGATAACTCAAAAGCCTGGTATGTCAGTCAGATGCTATATGAAGACCTGAATTGGGTTTACAAATGGAGGGTTAGGCATGTTAATATACATATGCAGAAGTGCTGGCCTTCCAAATTTTGTCTGAAAGTTGAGGCCCATCTATAGGTAACTACGGCTCAACAATGTAGCTAAAATATTTAGTTTAAATAGAAAATATTAATTTATCTTGCAGTTCTAATTAGAAAATACAAGGTTTTAAAGAACAGTAAGTCTATTGAGGCTTATTCCCAGATATCATCAAAAGATATGGAACAAAGAAAATATTTTTTACCATTTTACACCAGAAATGAAATTGCCCTTTGTTCTAAAATAGGTGTTCTGCTATTTATGGAGGGATTCTTACATAATAAGTCTCTCCTTTACCATAATTCTTTATGAGTTAGTGCAAATCATTACTGATTACTTTGTGTGTGCATATGTACGTGTGTGTGTAAACCATAATCTCTATATGTTTGGCGGTCAATAAATATTTGTTAATTTGAATTAAAGGTGTAAGATATACTACATTGTGCATCTGATCTTGATTTTCTGCATCATATAAGTATTTCTTATACATTTCTATCTCTTTGGGTTCAAAACATGCTAAAAACTGGTCCTTTCTGTATTTATTATTTTGAAAACAACATCCAATGTTTTTATTTTTTTAAGACATCTAAATTGGGGGCAGAAAATGGGGGGACATAAAAATACCCAATGTGGGAGAGGTGCAGGTGTGGTGGCTCATGCCTGTAATCCCAGTGCTTTGGGAGGCCAAGGCAGGTGCACCACCTGAGGTCAGGAGTTGCAGATCAGCCTGGCCTACATGGTGAAACACCATCTCTACTAAAAATATAAAAATTAGCCAGGCATGGTGGTGCATGCCTGTAATACCAGCTACTTGGAAGGCTGAGGCAGGAGAAATGCTTGAACCCGGGAGGCAGAGGTTGCAGTGAGCTGAGATCATGCCACCACACCCAGCCTGGGTGATAGAGAAAAACTCTGTCTCAAAAAAACAAACAAAAAACCAAAAAATACCAAATGGACATTAATAGGAGTTACTTTTCCTCCTGTACCCCCCCTGCTACAGGTATGAAGGTGGGGCAGGCATCCTTGCTCATTATTGCCACCTCTCTCCTCAAAATTCCTAGGTCTACTGAAATGGCCATTTCCTGCTTATGTAGTTATCCACTTGTCCTCCCTATCTTACTCTTTTTTAAACAAGGATTTTACATGTTGTTCTCTGCTCTTCTTTCCATTACTACTCTTCTTATTATTCTTAGTGACTTTAACATCAAAATAGATAATCCATCTAACACTGACTTCTGAGGCACATAAATCCTCTACGGCAGATACTGCTGGTTTTTACCCAGCATCTACTCATCTTTTCTTCCTTGTGAACCAAATTCAATTATCAGGCTACAGTATGCATAGGCAAGGTGGGCCCAGTCAAAACTGGCTGGCTTAAATTAATCATAATAATTCCATTCCACATTGCAAGTGTTGGTCAAGAATTAGGTATGTGACCTAGTTAGAACTTAAATGGTACCTTGAGAAGAAGTCCACTAGGGGGCTTCAGGGAGAGGTTTTAATCTCCCATTAAATGAAAGATGTATGAAACTAAATGAAGCTTTCCACTTTCTGAGTCTCTGGATATGTGCAGATATGAAGACAGAACTCTTGGTGTACTCTGCCAATGAATCTATTTAGCTCCTTTTTGTCCTAGCAGGGAACGTCACCATGTGATAAGTCAAATGCCTGGTATGTCTGTCAGATGGTATATGAAGTGAATCTGGTGTATGAAGGGATGTCTTACCTTCCAAAGTTTACATCTGAAAGTTCTACAATATTGTGGAATCAAGGAAAGCCAAGAAATTAATAGGGCAGCTACCCCAAAATTGGCACTGAAACCATTTACTTCTGGCTTCTTAAGTGAGAAAATAAATCCTTATTATTTAAGAATTCTCACATCTGCAGCCCAAAACAATCTAGCTGATAGACTTCTCTCCAGTATAACCATCAGATTAACTGGCCACATCCTAAACTAGTGGTTCTCTACTGCAGGTGTACCATCACCTCATGTGAAGGGGACAGAAGGGGAGTCAGTTGTTGACACAGTACATGAGGAGACTGCGACAAGCATTTAACATCTGGAAACTCAGAATGTTCAATATCTCAGAGTGTGAAACTCTCTCTCATGTGAAAAAACTACCTCACCCCAAATGCTTGTGGTTCACCAATTAAGAAATTCTACTATACGCTTTGTCATTATCAATAACGTCATGGCCTCCAAAATCATCTCTCTTATCTGTACAGCTTACTACTCCAGGGACCACTTCAACAATTCTTCATTCCCACCACAAATGCCAATCAGTGTGTTCTCAACACTTTCCATTTTTTCCTCTTTACTTCCTTACTTACCCTGGTTAGATTCTTTGGTCCATCACTGTTTTGCAAATACCTTCCATTTCTTTACCCTTCTCTCCTCCATTGTACTTATTCTAGAAGGCCCTCAATCTTGGCTAATTTCTACTCTCCTCCTACTCTATGATTTTACCCAAGTAGCTAAAAATGACTGAAAAAAATACACAGTCATTTAAAACTCATAATTACTAAACTTAAATAACATGGAAATATCTGGCTATCCTAAACTATTTCCCTGGCTCATTTACTCTTTTCATCTCTATACTGATCATTTCATATTTTCTCTTTTTCTTGTCAAATATCTATTATCTCCTCTACCTTCCTTACTCTCAGTGGATGACCCTACTTTGTATGTGATTTATTGTCTGTCTCCTCAAAGTAGAAAGGAAACATAACAAGGGGAGGTATTTTTGTCTTTATCTGTTTTTTATTACATTACTAGTCATATGCAGAACAGTTCCTGGCTATTTGATACTCAATAAATGGCTGACAAATGAATGAATCAGTTTAAATGTTAATCTATGTCACTGCTATGAAATAAGTATTCATGCCAAAAGGCAATGATCTTACATTTTTGTTTGCTTTGCTCTGTGTAGACGATACTATACATGTAAAAATACTAAGAACAAATTAAAGAATTCAAAACATTAAAAAAAAAAAACCAAAACACAGGAAATTCTTAGTCATAAGGGGATGGACTAGGAAGCAACAGGTCACTGCTTTGTTTCTCCTGCTGTAAAAAGTAAAAATTCAGTATATAATTTGGAAAAAATCTTATTTTTAAAAACATCTTTGGTTTACTTTACTTAGTTCTCTTTGCTTTCCCAGTCAGAGGTGGGAAAGTGAGCCAGGGAAGTGAGGCATTCTGAAGTGAAGAGGCTATTACAACTGCTTCTTACCTGGAAGCCTTATTCATTTCTGTGAGTGTACTTAGGTCAAGCCTGGCCTTTAAATTGAGAGATAACATGCTGGAAAGAAAAACCACTGAAGCTTCTGGAGGATGTGTGGGGATGATGCAACAATTTGGAAATCTCAAAGTCCGTAAGCATATTGTGCTTTCATTCCCATGGTATATTTTCATTGTTGTACTTGGGGGCTTCATGGGAAGTTAGGGAGCTTTGAAAAGTCAGACAGAAATCTCTGATAGTATAGAATTATTTCAGAGACGAAGAGCTGCTTGAGGAAGAGAATCTGCTTCAAATACATGGCCAGTCTCTTCATCAAGACACTTACCAAATTTGGAAATGGTATAGGGCAGAAAGCTGAAGAGGAGAATAAATCTCCCATAGTTTAGGAAGTGAAGGAGAAAGAGGCGCAACTAGGCTCTATCCAGCTCCCGCTTCTGGGCATTTGAAATCAAAGGTAGGTTTGAATCTAATTAAAAATGCAATTTAAAGGCGGGCACAGTGGCTCATGCCTGTAATCCCAGCACTTAGGGAGGCTGAGGCGGGCAGATCACGAGGTCAGGAGATCGAGACTATCCTGGCTAACATGGTGAAACCTCATCTCTACTAAAAATACAAAAAAATCAGCCAGGCATGGTGGCACACACCTGTAGTCCCAGCTACTCAGGAGCCTGAGGCAGGAGAATCACTTGAACCGGGGAGGCAGAGGTTGCAGTGAGCCGAGATCAAATCACTGCACTCCAGCCTGGACAACAGAGCGAGACTCCGTCCCTCCCTCCCCCCCCCAAAAAAATGCAATTTAGTCTTGTCCAAGCTCAATTCTGGATGGAATGAAAAGGGAGAAGCCTCTCTGGGGCAAAAATAATATAAACTTGCTTCTCTATGTTATTTTTATTCCTGACATCTTTCACATGAGACATTTGGAAAAGCAGAAAAGCATGACAAATGGAAGAAAAAAACAGAAAGGCAGGTTCACAGTTGCTGAAATTTAACAGATAAAGACCTCAAAATATTATTAAAATGTTACAGAAAATAGCGAAAAAATACACAAAAATATGGGGAAATTTCAACAGAAAACTGCAATTGAGAGAATCAAATGAATAAACTTTAACTAAAAAAGACAATATCTGAAATTAAGATTAATCAGATGGACTTAACAGCAAAATGGATATAGCAGAAGACAGAACTAGTGAACCTGAAGGCAGATCAATAGAAAATATCTTAATGAAGCACACACACAAAAAGAAACAATGGAAGGAACAGAACAGAGCATAAAGGAAATGTGAGATACCATCTAACATATACGCAATTACAGCCCCAGAAGGAGAGGAGAAAGTGCACGAGGCAAAATAGTATCTACAGAGACTATGGCTTAGAATTTTGCAAAACTGATAAAAGACATCAAACAAGATTGCAAAAGCTCAGTGAATCTCAACCAGGATTTTCTGTTAATACAAAGAAAGCTACACGTACGTGAATCACAGTCCAACTATTTGAAACTGAAGTTAAGGACATAATCCTGAAAGCAGCCAGAAGGGAAAACATATACATTACATTCAAGAGATTAAGATTAACAGCTGGCTTCTCAAGAAATATTATGGAAGCTATTATAGAAAAGAATAAAATAATACATGTAGAGCTCTGAAAGACAAAGCTGCCAAGCTAGAATTCTAATCCAGCACAAGTATTCCTCCAAAATGAAGGTAAAAATAAAGACATTTTCACATCAACAAAACCCTATCAAGAATTGTCACAACACACTTACATTACAAGAAAACAATAAAGGAAGTTTTTTAGGCTAAAGAAAAATGATTCCAGATAGAAACACGGAATTTAGGGAGAAATAAAAAGCACCAAAAGGGTAAATGAATGGGTAAATTAAATGATACTTAAAATTAATGAGTAAAGAAAACGTAAAGCAACAATTGAGTAAAAATGTATTAAAAGATTTATAACACAGATTAAGGTAAACTACATAACAACAGTCATACAAGGAGCTGGTTGTCTAAAGGTTTCTACGTTGTTTGTGAAGTAGTAACATACAAATTACTAAGAAGAAGATATATAAAGACCTAACAGAAAAATGGGCAAGAACCTCGAACCAGAACTTCACAAGACTAGATATCCAAATGGATAGTATATATGAAAAGATATTCAAACTCATTATCCATCAGGAAAATGCAAATTAAAATCACGGCAGGACATCACTATACTTCTACCAGAATGGCTACAAGTTAAAAACGCTGACAATATCAAGTTCTGGTGGGGAGCTGAAGAAAGTAGAACTCATAAATTATTAGTAGAACTATACATTGGTATAATCACTTTGGAAAACTCTTTGAAAATATCTTCTAAAGCTGAAAATCCTCTACTATATGGCCCAGAAATTCTACTCCCAGGTATATATCTGAGAGAAACAGTATATAGGACCATCAAAATAAACATATAAGCACATTTGCAGGAACTTTACTCATAGTAGTCAACATCTGGAAATAACCCAAATATTTACCAACAACAGACTGGGCAATTTTTTAGTGCTTATACACAATGAAATACTAAACAGCAGTCCAAAAAAAAAAAGAGCAAACTACTGATATATACAAAACATGGGTGAATTTTAAAAAACAACAAGTGAAACATGCCATACACAAAAGAGAATATACTGTATGATACCATTTATATGAAGTTCAAAAACAGGTAAAAATTCATTAATGGTGAAAGAAATTAGGATGATGTTTATTTCATAGTGGTAAGTTACAAACTGGGAAGTGGCATCTGAGGACTTTACCCTATGCTGGAAATATTCTACACATGAATATGGGTGAAGGTTACATTAGTGTACACATATACAAACATTTATTAGGCTTATACTTAAAAGTAGAATGCTTGCACACTTTGCTATGTCACCACATAAAAAAACAAACAGAAAAATTTCAGTCACAAAAGGGAAGTAATTCATATGCAGAGATCTTAACAACTTATGGAAAAACAGAAAATAGTCCATTCTATTGATGTCTACACAGCCTTTTTCTCTACTTGGCCTCTAAAACTATGAGAGTAAAATTCTGTGATTGTAAAACTTTGATTATTTCTCTCCTAGGAGTTACAAGTTCCTGATTATTTGTGCATAAATACATTCCTTCATTCACAAAATATGTAAGTAAAATATATAATACGTGACATCCTTTATTTTAGAGAAAAAAGCAGAAAAAGTAGATAGTAGTACTGGGGATATACATATGATTAAATTATAAATAGGATGGTCTGGAAAACCTTCATTGAAGGCATCATTCAACTAGAGACTTGCTTCAAGTAGAGAGTATTCTAACATTCAAAGGTCAAAGAGTTAAGGAAAACTTAGCAAAGGAGACTGGGAAGGACTGGTTTATGAGGAAAAAGAAAACCAGGAGATAAAGTGCCCCGGAAGCGCCCCCCCTGCCAAAAAAAAAAAAAAAAAAGGCATTATCAAGAGGAATAAATGGTCCACAGGATCAAATATTGCTGATAGGTTAAAAGGTGAAGACAGAAATGATCACTGGATTTTACAGCACAGGATAGGGAAATAGACTAGGGGAACAAAGTAGGACTGCTAGGCAGCATGAAGAGCTGACCTGAGGTGAGTGTCTGTGAATCTGAATTAATATTATTAGTCAGCATGTTGTGGGTGTTTTAGGTAAGCTGTCTTCAGCTGGATAGTTGAAGACACAAAGTTGTATTCAAACACGGTTGGGGTTCTGCCAAAGGTATCTGACAAAGAGAAAGCGGAACAATAGATTTGAAGGTATATGCCAGGGTATGATTATGGCTGACCAGAGAATGAAAAATGAGGGTATAAATAGCAGAGTTAAATTGGTGATAGACTTGTAGGTAATGGTGGCAGTGAAGGAATATTGGAGTTAAGGGGTCAGAGAGAGAGAGCACTAGAAAATTATGAGCAGGAAATTATAAAAGATTTGCTGGAAACCGCGATTAATGAGTTTTAGATATGGTAATCTTAAGACATATCTTATTACCATAGGATGGACTGGATGAAATGAAATGGAGAAAACAATCATTGAAGGTGAAGAATAAAGAAACTCACTCAGAATCTTAAAAAGTTTATGTGTATGTGCATTTTAAAATCACCAAATATGGCAGAAGCAATGCTGCAGAGAATGACAATGTGAAAGGAGCTAGAGCTCTTAAATGTTGAGCAAATAAGATAGGAAAAGTCATTAAAGTGCTATAACGAAGTGAGGAGGGTCCCATTTCCCCATCTCCAAAGGTATTCCCACACATTTTTATAAACATAAATATGTACCCACAGGAAACAAAAGCTATTTTGTTGTTGTTTATTATTAATTGTGTGATTTTATATAAATGGTATTATGCTGTTTTCTGCATAAATTTCTACAACTGATTTTTCACCACTTAAAAGATTTTTTCCAAAGATAAAACAACCACTTACAATAAACACCTCATAACACTGTGAGTACAATTCAAAAAGTGAATATATATTTACCTTGAAGTTTTCTACTGAGTTCAAGTTTTTCTTGCTCAAGGCGCTTAATTCTTCTTTCATAAGCTTCAGTTGCTAAGTTGTTGTCTAGAGTCCTCTGAACATTAACATCAAGATCCAGTGAGGTGGGACCAGCTGTAACTCTTAAACAGCTCCGATCAGAAAGTACACTGAAGAAAAAAAAAAAAAAACAAAAAAAAGTAGGTTCATACTGTGAGAAAAAGTTTGAAGAAAAATGTTAACATTTTTTAAAAAATTTTTAACTGACTCCACATTCATGGCATAAACATTTTTAAATTGCTCATTTAAAACACAGATTTGAATATCTTGCAGCTTAGCCAGCTGGAATAATTATAAGATTTTTTTGCAAAATTACCATAAACTGTTTTTAGAAGCATTTGAAAAAATGAAAACCTAATATCCCCCAAATTATTTTGATTTAAAAAACCCCACAAATTATAAAATGAAGTTTGCTGAAGGGTTACTGGTAGTTTAAAACAATTTGACCACCTAGGTGAAACAGTAGTAGTCAAAAGCACCAACCACGGCCCTCTTTACTAGAATTTGAAATTCAAAAGCAAGTTTCTGTCTTTAATTCAATACGATTTAAATAAAAATACTGCAACTGCTGGACATTTGGTGGTGAACAAAACAGACAAAAATCCTTGCCCATATAGAGCTTATATTCCAGTGACTGAGACAGAAATAAACAAAATAATTGAGATATTCATTACATTAGAAAATGTTAAATGCTAAGGAGAAAACATAAAGCAGGAAAAGGAGAAATAAAGTATTGAAGGGGAGGAGATACAAATTTAGATAAAGTAGTCAGTAAAGCTGTCACTGCTAAAGTAACTTTGAAAAAAGCTAAGTAAAGGTGAGGGGACCACTTAAGGGAATAGCAAAAGAAAGAATGTTCCAAGCAGATGAAACAGAAGTACTAAAGCCCTGAGACAAGAGTATGTCTGGCATGTTCACAGGCCAGAAAGGAGGCCTGTGTGGATGGAGTTGAGTAAACAAAGAAAAATAAACTCAGAAAGATAAAAGTAAGGCAGTCATGTAGGGCCTTGTAAGAAGTTTGATTTGGAGTTGATATGAAGCCACTGGAGTTGGGGATGGGTGGACTGGTTCTGAATAGGGGAGTGACATGTTCTGATTATCTTTTAAAGGATCACCTGAACAGGTTCAGAGAAATAAAAGAAAGTTATTTACATAGTAAGTGGGTGGTTAAGACAGATTTTTAAGCAGACGAGAGGAGAGGTCTCAGCTGGAGATGCACACTGACGATTCATCAGCAAATCTTTGGGAGAACACTAGAGAGTTTAGATGGAAAAGAGAAGTCCAAAGACTGAGCCATAGGACACTCTGATATTCACAAGTCAGGGAAGTCAGGAGGGTTCAGGTATGGAGACTGAGAAGGAATTACCAGCAAGGTGAGAGAAAATCAGTCAAGTGTCCTAGAAGATAGGAGAAGAGGGTATTTTAAAAGTATGGAGCTGTGGCAAATAAGATGAGACTAAGCAAATAAGTAAGACTAGAACTGAGAAGTGATCATTAGATTTAGTAACATGCTGGTCAACAGTGACATTGATAAAAGCAGTTTGCATGAAGTGATGGTGGCACATACCTGACTGGAATGAATTCAAGAAACAACAGTATGAGAAAAATAAACAAAAATACAGTCAAAAGTTGAAGTAATTTTTCTATAATGTAGAGCAGAGACATGGTTGATAAGAGGTAAAGGAAGTAGAATCCAGATTTTATATTTTGTATTAAGATGGGGAACTGACATTTGCAAGCTGATAGAAATAATCTGATGATGCAGATGACACAAGAAGAAAAAATTCATGACATAAAAGCAAAACATGTACTAGACCAGCCAGGAAGGAATGAAAGAGACTGGCCTTACTAGAGGCTTGCACAGTTCATCCATGAAAAGAACAGAGAATTTGGGTCCAACAGTAAGTAGGCGGTAAATATGGTAACTGGAGCTTGTGGGAGTTGTCTGTGGTTTGCCTCAATCCTTTCAGTGAAAGGGGATACAAGTCAGCTGAACGTGAGGTTTCAAACTCAAGTAGAAAGAAATACGCCAGATGCAATGGCTCACATCTGTAATCCCAGCAACAGGGTAGGTTAAGGCCAGAGGATGGCTTGAGGAGTAGGAGGCTGTAGTGATGATCTATGACTGTGCCATTGTACTCCAGTCTAGACAGCACAGCAGGACTCCATTTCTAAATCGTTTTAAAAATTAGCTGGGCATGGCGGCTTGTGCCTATTGTCCCAGCTACTCTGGAGGCTGAGGCAGGAGGATCATTTGCGGTCAGGAGTTTGAGGTTATAGTGAGCTAGGACTGCACCACTGCATTCCAGCCCTTCTGCTGCCCAAAATAAAACCCCATCTCTTAAAAAAAAAAAAAAAAAAAAAGAAAGTAAAAAATAGTTATCTAGGTGAGTAGAAGAGTGAATACACTAGAGTAATACAGTATATTTGTCAGACAAGGGGCACTTGAGGTTGGTAATCATGAATTTAAAGTAGACCAGTAAGAATAGTCAGCTATTTTTTCTAGTCATTTGAAACTGTACAGGTAGAGAATAAAATTTTAAGAGTTAATGTTGACTTAGCAAAGCAAGTATAACAGAATTAGAGACAGTCAAACTGAAACAGCATACAAGGAGTGATTATAATCATTCTCAATGGAATTTAAGCAGGGTAAGGGAGAAATAGGGAATATAAGTGAACGGAGGGTCAGTGTAAAAGATGGTAGAATTAATGGGTTGAAAGTTCTCCTGCTTGACATCTAGAGAATATTCAACAGCATGAAACTCTTCTAATTACTGCTTCATTGCTAAGGAATAGATTCTGAGCTCTCTGTTCCATTCTTTCCCCTCCAAAACGAGTTCAGATTTTCATGTATTCTAATTTTGTAACGCTTAACTTTCTATTTCCAGCAGTAGGCTCATTCTATTTTTTAAAAAGTTTTAATTTACAGTTTTCGCATACATTTTTTACCAACCTCAATTCAATTTAATTTGCTTTAAATTGTCCAAACTATGTTAACTTTTTTTTTTTTTTTTTTTTTGAGACAGAGTCTCACTCTGTTACCCAGGCTGGAGTGCAATGGCGCAGTCTCGGCTCACTGCAACCTCCACCTCCCCGGTTCAAGCGATTCTCCTGCCTCGGTCACCCGAGTAGCTGGGATTACAGGCACCCGCCACCATGCCCACCTAATTTTTGTATTTTTAGTAGAGATGGGATTTCATCATATTGGCCAGGCTGGTCTCAAATCTCCTGACTTCATGATCTGCCTGCCTTGACCTCCCGAAGTGCTGGGATTACAGGCATGAGCCACTGCACCTCGCCCAAACTATGTTAACTTTTCAAACTTACCAGCTACTAGTATATGTAAAACCAACAAATGGCAGATGGTGGCCAGAAAATGCAGTGTGTGTTGGTGGGGGCATCGTTTCCTAAAGGAGGAAAAAACATCTGGTAAGAAATAGATAGCTATGATCTGTATGCTTGGCTATAAATATAAAATGCCAAAAAAAATTAACAAAAAAAATTTTTGACTGTTCAATTTTAAAACACTGATAAGTTTGGTATAGTTGTTTAGTGATATAAAATTCAGACCATGAACACTGCTACTCTAAAATTCTAATTAAATTAAAGATGGAAAGTCTAATATTGAGAAAACAGTCATTATTATTCATGTACTCTGTATTTGCAAATTTGTATAGAAGCTAATATTTATTTGTAAACCCCAAATCAATACTTATGGTAATTTTATGATTATTTGTAGACACGTGCAGAGCACAGAAAAATTTGAGATGTCCTATGCTCACATTCCCAGCTGAAGTTGAACAGGAGAGGCTCTGCCTTCTCATTTAAGCGCTCATATTAGAAACAAGTGTCCTTTACAGGGTCTCTTTGGTGTCATGCATTTCACATTTTTGGGCCCTTTGTATGTGATTCACTGCTTGAAAAGGCTCCCAAGCATAGTGCTGAAGCACTGTCTAGTGTTCCTAGCACAAGAGGACAGTGATGTGCCTTTACGGAGAAAATAATATGCTAGAAAAGCTTCATTCAGGCACGAGTTACAGTGCTGCTGGTGGTGAGTTCAATGGTGAGTTCAGTGTTAATGAATCAACTATATTATATAAAGTGTCTTTAAAGAGAAGCACACATAAAACAAGACTATATACTGATCAGTTGATCAGAGGCTCACAGAAACCTAACCCTGTACTTCCCTCAGAGCAATGGTTCAATATTAGCTAATAGTGTTCAAGGCAACTATATAGAACATAAACACCATGAATAATTAGAATCAACTGTACTATGTATTTAATTTGGAATGATTCACAATTTGTTAACAGTAAACATAATTCTATTTATAAAAAATTGGTAAGAGAAGTCCATTTAACTATTCTTTGTGAAGTTTAGACAGGAAAGTATGAGAAATTTTTATCTGCCTTGAATATAGTACTAGGATGGTTTACAGTTATCAAACAGTGATTACAGCTTATTGTACTGAAAAGAGTATTCACAGTTTCAGTGAAAAGTAATATAACGTGTACCTATTAAGTACCCACAAAAATTTTAAAAAATTGTAAGTCATATAACATTAACATAAAAATTTTTAGTACAGAATTAAAGCCATAGTAAATAAAATAACTGCAAAAAAAAAAAAATAAAAGCTCAAATTAAGAAGGCTAAAAAGTGGCTGGGAGCAGTGGCTCATGCCTGTAATCCCAACACTTTGGGAGGCTGAGGCAGGCGGATCATGAGGTCAGGAGATCGAGACCATCCTGGGTAACACGGTGAAACCCCATCTCTACAAAAAATACAAAAAGTTAGCTGGGCGTGGTGGCGGGCGCCTACAGTCCCAGCTACTCGGGAAGCTGAGGCAGGAGAATGGCGTGAACCCGTGAGGCAGAGCTTGCAGTGAGCCGAGATCATGCCACTGCACTCCCAGCCTGGGAGACACAGAGCGACTCTGTCTCAAATAAAAAATGTTTAAAAAAAGAAGGAGAAGGAGAAGGAGGAGAAGGAGGAGGAGGAAGAGGAGGAAGAGGAGGAGGAGGAGGAGAAGGAAGAAGAAGAAGAAGGTGGAGGAGGAGGAGGAGGAGGAGGAGGAAGAAAGAAGGAAGAAGGAAGAAGAAGAAGACGATGACGACGACGACGACTAAAAAGGCAAAAAGCACAAACATTTTAAGTTCTTATTTTCCTAAATTTTAATCTCATATAACCTAAAGGGTTATAGCAGAGGTCGATATACTATGCTGGCCTGTTTGGGCATGGCTCACAAGCTAAGAATGGTCGAATTATTTGGCTAGTGGACTGGCCAAATAATTGGCTTGAGGTCAGATATTCACCTCAGGCAGGGTTATAGCTCAGGGCTATACCACGTCTGTGGACTATTTTCCCTATTGATTTCCTACCAAGTTAGCTATTGTTAGCAGCAACACACTGGGCTTGGGTATTTAGTCCTGGAATCTGCCCTCCGTATCAGCAAAGCTGCTGATTTTTCTATCCAGTTCCATGCTACTAGTACTACTGTCCCAGACCAAGTCAGTAGTGGGGATGGAAGTGTGTGGTATATGTGACTTTAACTAAAGTTCAGTAGCTTTGCACAAATAAATGCTTCTCAATTTATTTCTCTTCAATTGTATCAAGCCCTGACATGGTTGTTTTTGATAATTTTGTCCAGTTCTATGGTTTTAGAGAGAAATTTGCCAACCTCTTCACTTTGCAATCATAAAATCTGCTTTTTTAAGTATCTAATTTGTTCTCTTAGGAAGCTTAATGGCATAACTTATCTAAGAGGTAAAACTTTGAATTTTAATTTTGTTCTTAGTCACAAATAACTATGTTCACCTCAGTTAACTTTCTTCTTTATTTGATTTGTGACAGAACAAGCACTGGAAGCCATGATCACTGACTGATAACTGATAAATTGTAAAACCATCCTAGCAAAATACTTATAAACCAAAAAATTACTATATAACCATATTAGAAAGAAACAGAGGGACAGAACTTCTTCACAGTGTCATACTTACAGAATTTTTTAAACAATCATCATCTACATCAAAATTCGATGTATCTGTTGGGCTACTAACTTCTGGAATATAAGGTGCTTCACAGTTCCGAATATTATCCCAATCAATTCCACTGAAAAATGGATGTTTCTTAAAGTCTTCTATTCCATTTTGACCAAGTCGATGTTCTCTGCTACAAATGAGCCTTCGAATAAGATCCTTAGCATTTTCAGACACATCAGTCACTTGGGCTGGAAACTGAAACCTCTCCTAAACAGTGAAAAACAGAAACAAAATATAAATCAGTGTTTAACATACTAAGTACATTGGCTGACTTATTTATTTTCTTAAAAATACATTTTCTTTTAAATATATTTAATAACTGTATGTTGGTGCAAAGTACTAATACTAAAGGAATACAGAAATGAATGACAGATGATCATTTTCCTAGGACTTTAATTTCATATATGAGTTATCATGCATGTGCTATAGAAAAAAGAATACATTATACCTTAAACTGCTATCAGAATGAAGAGAAATTACTTAAAAGTAGTGGAATTTGACTCAATATTTAAATCGAGCATAGATGATTGATAATGGTCATATAAGTTACATACTAATGATTAATAATATTTTTAAAGGACATAATATGTATCTGACACTATTTAAAGTATGTTACTCATTTAACCCTCAAAACAACCATTTTAGGTAGGTACTCCTACTATGCTACTATTATAGAAGAAATAAAGACACAGAGAATTCAAATAACTTTCTCAACATTACACATCTAGTAAGTGGCAGAACCAGAATTCGAACTGAAGCTGTAATCTGTGCTGTTAAATATAATGTTATACTACAATATTCTTTTCTAATTCAAATGATGTACATGCTATGTACAACCTTGCTGCTATTTCCAGTCTTTCAGCTCTTTGTAACTACTTGAAACATTGTCTTTGCAACCAGGTAGAAAAACATAAGCCCTATAAAACTGATTTTTATATATGTAAAGCAACTAATCATAATTGCTTCACTGGAACAAATTAAAAAGAACAGATTATCCCCTTCTATCGGATATTCATATTCTAGGTTTTTGCAACTGCTCACAATCTTCTAAGACTGCTAATAAAACCTTTCTTCTTATTACTATGAAGTCTATTTCACTTAGTACTAAATATATTAAAGTTTCATTAATTTGTTCTTGTTGTGTTATCTGTGTTGCTTCTAATGTCGTCATCATAAATAATATTAGAATAGGTATACTTGTACATATATCTTTGTTCTACTGAAAATGTCATAGGGTAGATTCCTAGAGTGAAGTTGCTCAATCAAAACCTCTAACCATTTTTTAAGGCTCTAGGTGCATACCTGTATACTTTCTGAACAGAAAGGTTACACCAATTTATAATCCTATTAATGTCTTAGAATGCCCATCTCACTGCATTATTTATGGTACAGAGTACTATTTGTCTTTTGATCTTTGCTAATTTGACAAGAAAAAAAGTATCTCATTCTTATTTTAAATTTGTATTGCACTTATTACTACTAAAGTTGAAAATTTTTTTTACACACATTCTAGTCATGATTATACATGTACTATATACATATACTATAGTAAGCAATGATCTAAATTCTCTGCTTATGACCTTTGTTATTCTACTTGAGAGACCACTTAATTTCCTACTTAGCAGCATCTCTAATAAAATACAAGAAAATGAGAACTAGTAACTTATGAATAATTTATGGATTTTTGACTATTTATGTTTGTCGTGTCCCGTACTAGGATAGAAATGTGACCTGTTCACTGTTTTTAGAAAAATATTTTCTCTTTAAAAATGATATTATTATATGTGTTATTTACCACATTAATTTGAACAAAAGTAAAATATACTAACTTTGTGATTCATGATTTTTCCGTATGTCTCCACCAGAGATTCTGCATAAAATGGTGTTTCTCCATAAAGCATTTCATACATACAGACCCCCAAAGACCACCAGTCACATTCAGGTCCATATCTGCCTTTTCCATCTTCCATGGCTTGAAGGATTTCAGGAGAGATATAATCTGGGGTTCCTACAGCCACTGAGGACTGAACCTGAAGAAATTTACATTTTTATTAATCTACTATATTAGAAATAAAATAATTTTAAATTTAAAATAGCTACTTAAGATACACAAGACATTATTATCTCATAAACACATCTTTGTCATTATCTGAAAAATAATAATCCTTGTATATATGTTAAATTTTGTATTATCCCCACATTAATAGTTTTCCAGATTTCGTAACACTATACAGCTGTTACGTAGCTGATGACATTGAGAGGAACAATTTAATTTAAACCATCATACCCATTAACAACAAACTGAATATTTGGTTTAGAACACTCATTATTGATAATTACCTGTCAAACCTATACACGTAAAAAAAAATGAAGCTATAAAAATTTTACAATGAGATGGGGGGAAAAGCTCCTGATATTTAGGCCAACACTATGAAAAGCCTGGAGATTATGTTTAAACTCCTTAATAGAAACCTAAGAAAATAAATGTCAATAATGTACAACAAACTACTTACTACTTTAAAAAACTATAAAAGAAGAGGCATATCCTTCAAAAACTAAAGTTCCAATAGAGAGAAAAAGTTGAGTGCTTGTTATAGCAGGTTAGGTTTAACTAGAAAATAGTAATTAAAGCCAGGCATGGTAGCTCACATCTGTAATCCCAGCACTTAGGGAAGTCAATGTGGGAAAAACACGTGAGCCCAGGAGTTTGAGACAAGCCTGGGCAACATAGCAAGACCCTGTCTCTATAAAAAAGTGGAAGAAAAAATAAAACAGGTAACTAGAAAAATCCTGGGTATATTTGTTGTAAGGTACTTTGAAGTAAAAGAATATTGACCCTTTACATGTTTTAGAAGAACTTATCCGAAACATGAACATTCCTAAAGTAGAATATCAGTTAATATTTTGGATTTTCTAGACTACATTTCCAATTCTGAATAATTAGAAGAGACTTACATTTTAGTAATGAGATTAAATAACTTAAAAACCCTTCTATTACAAACTCTTAAAAATGCTATATAAACATCTTGTCTAACACGATGAAACCCCATCTCTACTAAAAATACAAAAAAATTAGCCGGGTGTGGTGGTGGGTGCCTGTAGTTCCAGCTACTCAGGAGGTTGAGGGAGGAGAACGGTGTGAACCTGGGAGGCGGAGCTTGCAGTAAGCAAAACTGCGTCACTGAACTTCAGCCTGGGCAACAGAGCAAGACTCTGTCTCAAAAGGAAAAAAAAAAAAAGCTAGATAAAATATAACAATTATTTGTATAAACATATAAAAGAACTTTTTTACAAAGAGAAATTCTTAGAGGTCAGTAATCAAGAAATGCTTAAAAATCAGAAGAATAAGCATTAGAGCTGAGTGGGGTTGGGGAATTGTTGGTTTTCATGTCCTAGGTTCTCGAATTTTAACATACACAAAAGCGAATACCTTACACTTATATAAGGTAAGAACAAAACAAAAACAAAGGAACAGACGGAAAGACCTATGCTTAGCTTACATGAGGTGGGGAGTTTGAAGACAAAGGCTTCCCTATATACACACCCTAAAATGTATACTGCTTAAGAAAAATGGTACATTATAAAAATCTTCCACAAAGCAGAGAAGGACAAGACATTTTATCTATCTTGACTTGTGAGTGATGAATGAAAAATATTGTTCCTGTAGAAATTCGTAACATTACATCACATAGTCTCAACATTTGGGATGCAAATCCATACCACTTCTGTGGTCCAAAAGTTCCCAAGCCAAGAAATGGGAGAAAATTTTTGCAATCTACTCATCTGACAAAGGGCTAATATCCAGAACCTACAAAGAACTCAAACAAATTTACAAGAAAAAAACAAACAACTTCATCAAAAAGTGGGCTAAGGATATGAACAGACACTTCTCAAAAGAAGACATTCATACAGCCAACAGACACATGAAAAAATGCTCATCATCACTCGTCATCAGAGAAATGCAAATCAAAACCACAATGAGATACCATCTCACACCAGTTAGAATGGTGATCATTAAAAAGTCAGGAAACAACAGGTGCTGTAGAGGATGTGGAGAAACAGGAACACTTTTACACTGTTGGTGGGACTGTAAACTAGTTCAACCATTGTGGAAGACAGTGTGGCGATTCCTCAAGGATCTAGAAGTAGAAATACCATTTGACCCAGCCATCCCATTACTGGGTATATACCCAAAGGATTATAAATCATGCTACTATAAAGACACATGCACACGTATGTTTACTGCAGCACTATTCACAATAGCAAAGACTTGGAATCAACCCAAATGTCCATCAGTGACAGACTGGATTAAGAAAATGTGGCACATATACACCATGGAATACTATGCAGCCATAAAAAAGGATGAATTTGTGTCCTTTGTAGGGACATGGATGCAGTTGGAAATCATCATTCTCTGAAACTATCACAGGAACAGAAAACCAAACACCGCATATTCTCACTCACTCATAGGTGGGACCTGAACAATGAGATCACTTGGACACAGGAAGGGGAACATCACACACCGGGACCTATTGTGGGGAGGGGGAAGGGAGGAGGGATAGCATTAGGAGATATACCTAATGTAAATGACAAGTGCAGCACACCAACATGGCACATGTATACATACGTAACAAACCTGCACGTTGTGCACATGTACCCTAGAGCTTAAAGTATAATTTAAAACGAAAAAAAAAAAAGAAAAAGAAATTGGCATTAACACTGACCCAAGGTTAGTTGCCTCTAGGAAGCAAAACAAATTCAAATCTACTGTGGAGGACATATGCTCAAATTTAGCAGATATAATTCTTAAACACAAAATGTCGCTGAATATGAGCTCACAATCCAATAATAAAAACCAAATGAGGAAACTGTCTATTATGAGTAACTCATAAATCCCAACAAACAGAACAACTGGATCCCTAACAACAATCAGATCCACTCTATGAAATAAGTATGTTTAAAATTATTAAAGACCTAAAAAAATCAACAACGCACAAGTTTTTAAAAATCAAACAGAACTCCTAGAAATGAAAATAGTCATTGAAATAAAATAAATGCAATAAATAGGTAAACAGTGGATTAGATACAGTTGACGAGAATAATAAACCTGAAGAAGAGCTGAAGAAATTAACTAGCATCTAATATGAAGACTTAAAAAATGGAAAATTTGGAATAAAGGCTAACATGTACGGACCCTAGAATGGACAAGTTCAACACAGCATAAGAGAATGAGATAAAAGAGAGAATAGCGGAAAGCAATATCCAAAGAGACGAAGCTTAAATTTTTTCAAGAATGATAAGACTTGAATTCTTGGATGCAGGAAGGGCATAAAGTACTTAGAAGAGGTTGAGCACAGTGGCTCACACCTGTAATTCCATCACTTTGGGAAGCTGAGGCAGGTGGATTGCTTGAGCTCAGAAGTTGGAGACCAGCCTGGGCAACATCGTGAAACCACATCTCTACAAAAAATACAAAAATTAGCTGGACATGGTGGCACATGTCTGTAGTCTCAGCTACTTGGGAGGCTGGGGTGGGAGGATTGCTTGAGCCTGGGAAGTCAAGGTTGCAGTGAGCAGAGATGGCACCACCACACTTCAGCCTGGGCAACAAGAGTGAAACCCTGTCTCAAAACAAAACAAAACAAAACACAAAGTACTTAGAAGATAAATAAAAGCAGATTCATGTCTATACACACTGGAATTAAACTACAGAATACCAAACCCAAAGAGATTTTAAAAACATTAAAGAATAGAGATTATCTACTAAGGAACAACAATTAGAGCAACAGTTGAATTATTATTAACTAAAAATTGCAGTCAGAAGAAAATGAAGTTGTACCTTCAAAGTGATAAGACAAAATGATTGTCAATATAATATTACCTACCTACCTAAATTATGATACAGAAATGATACATTCTCACACAAGACTGAGTGAACTATCACTAATATTTCCTTTCAGCTAAACAAGTACTAAAGGGTATACTTCGGAAAACAAGAAATTTAACCAAGATGGAAGAACGTGACACTAGAAGCAATTATGAACAAAGACATTAGTAAACTTTACTAATACATCTAAATGGTGGTTAATTGGATAACACAATGAAGAAGGAGGAGGACAAGGACTAGAAAAAGAGGCAGGAGTAACTACCTTAGGGCTGAAAAATAAATTTACCCCATAAATGTATACAACTATAATTTGTCAGTTTACAAATAGAAAAATAAAAAATTTTTAAAAAACACCCAATTTACCTCCCTAAAAAACAAAAGTTGGAAATAAAACACTGGAAAAACAAAAATATATTACTGAGGATGTAAACAGGATTCAAGTATTCTAAATTTCTTAGGTTTTTAAAATTTTTTAATTATTATTTTTAATGGTGGTAAAAATACACATAAAATTTACTATCTTAATGATTTTTAGAAGTGTGCAGTTCAGTGGCATAAGTACCTTCACACTGTTGTGCCACTAGTCCCCACCATCCATCTCTAAAATTTTTTCATCTTGGAAAATTTTAACTCTGTATCCATCAGTAATTCCCCCATTCCCCCTTCCCCTAGACCCTGGCAGCCACCATTGTACTTTGTTTCTTTGAACTTGATTACTATAGTTATCTCACATAAGTAGAATCATAAAATATTTGTACTTTTGTAACTGGCTTATTTCATTAGCATAATGTCCTAAGGTTTCATCCATGTTGTCGCACATGTCAGAATTTCCTTCCTTTTTAAAATTGATTGATATTCCATTGTATGTATACAGCACATTTTGTTTATCCATTCATCTGTCAATGTACATGGGTTGCTTCCACCCTTTGGCTATTGTGAACAATGCTGCTCTGAAAATGAGTGTACAAATGTATGTTCAACTCCCTGCTTTCACTTCTTTTGGGTATATACCCAGAGGAGGAACTCTGGATCACATGGTAATTCATTTTCAATTTTTTGAAGAGCTACCCATACCGTTTTCCATATTTTACATTCCCACCAACAGTGCCCAAGGATTCTAATTTATTCACACCCTTGACAACA